GTGGTCTGGGCAAGACAACGCTCGCCAGAAAGATATTCCACCATGGAGAGGTCCGCAATCACTTCCAGGCTTTCGCCTGGGCGTGCATATCCCATCAATGGCAAGAAAAGGACACTCTCCAGGGAATCCTCACGAAGCTCGAACCCGAAAGGAAGCAGGAGTTCGAGCGCATGAGCTACGAAGAACTAGTCAAGGAGCTTCATCAATTGCAGCAGCGCAAGAGATGCCTCGTGGTGCTGGACGACGTTTGGTCAACCGATTTCTGGGACAGCGTTGTATCCGCGTTCCCTACAGGAAGAACGGGCAGCAAGATATTGGTCACAACACGCAATAGAGACGTATGTACACACATCGATCCATCGTGTTTTCTTCACGAACTAAGATATCTAAACAACAAGGAAAGCTGGGAGCTTTTCCAGAAAAAAGCATTTCCAAGAAAACAGCCAGCAGGTAATTTAATCCCCGATTTCTTCCTTATGTTTACACAACTAACTATTTTCATTATAGTCCTAGCTTTCACATAAGCATCTGTTGAGATTAACAAGAACAAGAAACAATAATAATGACATAAAGTAAAGAAGACAAGATTTACCTGGCCTACGTCCACGGGAGTGAAACTATTCCTTCAATTCATAGTGATGGTGATAGTGGTGATACAACCCCTTAAGGATACAACCAATATATTTATAGGCATCTAATCCATGTTTCTTGACAAACTCAACAGCATCTAGGAAACACAAATAAGAGTGAGATAAACAGAATTCCAATGATATTTCATCAGTGTTGCAAAAATCGCGCCTAGGCGCTAGGCGCTCGGCCACCTAGGCGCTGTAGGCGCCCTAGGCGGTCTAGGCGCCTAGCGATTTTTTCAACATTGTATTTCATATTTGTAATTGTTTTGATCCCTGTGATTATATTGCAGATGTAAAAATGGACAAAGAAAAGGAGAAGCTAGGAAGAGAGATGGTTGGGCAGTGCAGAGGATTGCCGCTAGCAATCATTGTGCTAGGGGGGCTCCTGGCAACAAAACGAACCTCGGGGGAATGGAAGAAAGTCCATCAAAATCTAAGCTTACATTTAAGCGGGGTTAAAAGTGCTGGACAATACGGAGGAGTTTACGAGGTCTTGGCTTTAAGCTACAACAACTTATCGTATAGGTTGAAGCAGTGTTTCTTGTATTTGGGGAACTTCCCGGAGGATTACGAAGTACCCACACAAAAACTGTATCAGCTGTGGGGGGCCGAAGGCTTTATACCAGTGGAGATAGGCCAAGGAGATGCAGAAGGGACGATGATGGATGTAGCCGAGCAGTACCTAGGCGAGCTAGCCCAGAGGTGCATGGTCGATGTGCAGGTGGAGGAGACGACGGGGAGGTTTAAGAAGTGTCAACTCCATGACCTAATGCGGGAGCTTTGCTTGTCGAAGGTCGAGGAAGAGAATTTCCTCACTATAATCCCTTCTCACTGTCGAAACTCACCTGCACTTCTCCCTCACCATTTGAAGAAAGTTTTTTCGCCCTGGGGAACTGCCCGCTCAATTCGCCGACTTTCTGCCACTGTGGAATTGGATTTCGACGACCACTTTCGTCCCGGAGAAGGGGCATTCGGGCAAATAAGGTCAGCGTTGTTCTATTCTAGGCTTTCGTACAGACAGTCTTTCCAGACTCAACTTGCCTTGGTTTGCAGTAACTTCAAACTGCTAAGAGTTTTGGACCTCGAGAAGTTCTCTTTTGGCGAGAAACTGCCTAAAGGAATCGGGAACTTGGTCCATCTAAGATACTTAAGCTTAAGGGATTCGCATTTCCAGAAACTGCCCTCCTCGATTAGCAACTTGAAGTTGCTACAGACATTGGATTTACGGGCGTATTACTTTGCGTATCTGCCTATTCCCAATGTCATAAGGAAACTACAGAATCTAAGGCACTTGTACCTTCCTCCTTCTCACCAGAAAACGTATAGTTTGCAGTTGGATAGGTTAAGCAAGTTGGAAATACTAAAAAATTACGACACACAAGTCGCTCATTTTAGAGATCTCCCGAAACTAACCAGACTTCAAACACTGTCAGCAACGTTCTCGCTGGAATTCGAGGAGATGGAAGCCATAATCGACTACTTAAGTGGCACCAAGAATCCCCTGAGGCACTCCTCGCTCCGGATTTACTATAGATTCTATTCGGAAAAGGATCTTTCTCTTCTAACACAATTGGTAGGATGCCATCATCTTGACAAATTGGATCTAATTGGGTATATCAACTACCTACCCGATTGTTGTCACTTCTCTCAGAACCTCACAAAGTTAACCTTGAGAAAGAGTGAACTCGAGGAAGACCCAATGGCCATTCTCGAGAAGCTGCCAAAATTGGACACCCTGTCGTTACGTGGCAATGTCTTCAGTGGGAAGAACATGTGTTGCTCTCGACACGGTTTCCCGAAACTCAAGACTCTTCGGATTCAGGGGTTGCCCAATTTGGAGAGTTGGGAGGTGGAAGAAGGGTCCATGCCGACTCTTCTTCACTTGGAGATTGATAAATGCGAGAAACTGGAGAAGATTCCGTGTGGGTTGAAATTTATTAGCACGATTGAGAAGCTGGTGATAGCAAACATGCCCAAAGATTTCAAAAGAAGGCTTCATTCGGAAGAAGGAGAGGATTTATGCAAAGTTAAACACATTCCTTGCATAAGAGTTTTTGACACCGGGAGTCATCGTTTCAATACTGAACCAGTAATACATCTCTCAGGTACTTGGGGGACAATTTAGAAAATTTTTCTCTTTATGTTTTCGCTATGTACCAATCTAAGTATCAATGCTTCTCATCACCTCAAAATAATACAAGAGAGCATCACATTCACATTTATGATTTATCATTATCTTAATGGACAGGAGGGCAAATTCTTTCTGGATTATTTCAAACCATCTACCCGTCTTTGGTACCAAAGGCCTGGAAGAGTGTATGAACTATGAAGAAACCGACTGATAGAGTGTAAAGGTAAAACTTCTTGGAAGAGACTTGGCTTTTCCTACCAAAATATAGTAGCAGTTGTAATAAGCTTAGTTTTTTCTCCTGAAATCACATTCTATCTAGCATAGTGGAGCTTTTCTTTGTAATTAATTGATATCTATTGCTTTCAAAACCTTGATAAACTTTTGGGTGTTTGGTTGAATGGGGGAATCAAAACCAAAATGGGTATCAAAACTTAAGGAACATGAAAATAGGAATAGCAATCATTATTCATCTTGCAGAATGCCAGAATGTATGTATTCTGAAGTGGGAACCAATTACATATTATTAACAATTTCAGAAATCTAAATGCACAATTACAAGTAATTCAATGTTCTACTTTTTATTTGTTTATTCCAACCAGTTCACTCTGTTAAAGAGGTGCTATTGATAAAAGAAATATATCCTGTGTTAAGACTTAAGAGTCCCACATTGATAAAATAAGGGAGAATATATAGGTTTATAAGATCATGGGTTAGACTAGCTAATTGGTTGGATTCAATCTTTTAGTATGGTTTGGCCCATGTTCATTATAGCTCAGTTGAGTGACCCTAGCCCAATCTTTGTTTATAACATCCTGAATGAAAATTGGTAAATGATCCTTGGAGGATGAATGATGACACTTTCATATGAATTGGTAAATCTTTAAGTCTGTCTTGGAGTGTTTTACTGAAGGATTTGGAAATATTGCAATTTTCAACTTGGTTTAAGAGATGCTAATCCTTGAACATTTTATAAACTTCTTTGAAGAAATCTCAATTTCTCATCCTCTTCCTGCCATAACCATTGCCTCAATCAGTAGTCCTTAACGATGGTTGTTTGGATGGGAAACAGTCGCATTAAGGGAGTTTAAAACCGTAACATGAAGAGGAGGTGGAAGGACAGGAGAGGGAAGTGCTGGGGCAAGCCACAAGTGTAGGAAAACCAAGAAGAAAAGGTTAACGGGGATCATCTGTCTTATTCTGTCCTCTAGTTATTTCACTCGAATCCCATACATTTAAAAATCTCTGATCTAGCAAAAGCAATAGTATCATTCCCATTCACATTTTCCATACCACAAACCAAACAAATGGTAGAATATTAAATTGCACATCCTAATATCTAGCAACCGAGAAACATTCTCAATCCTGAAGGGATCAAATGACCATTCTATATCCACAGCGAATAACTTTGCACCTAGATTGTACATGTACATCCACAGGGTAAATATCCTGCTAGATTGAGTCTACTTATGGGATTTAGACAACTGAAACCACTGAATGTCTTAAGCAATGTAATCATCGAAGTCACACAGTTCAAAGCACGATACCTTCTAGATGTAAATGTTCATCTTCAAACAGGGAATTATTGACTAGTTGAACACCGAGTACACTAATCCCAAGGGAGTAGCAAGAATGAAAGTCCAGGTGAATTTCAATTCAGAATCATCACATAACTTTGAAATTCTATCAAACATAAAGTACTGAGACATCCAGTTAAATAACTTATCTTGACAATAACTACTTGAGAAATTCCATGCATCTGCACAATTTTCAAAAATTCATTCTCTTCTTTACCTTCTTCCCTTAAAGAGTTTATAGATACTGTTACTATTTCCGTCATGTATATTCTGTCAAGAGGATCGCTCACCAGTCACCTCCAAACACACACAAACTGACCCAAAGTTTGAAGTCACTAAGCCATCCATACTTCATTTCTTAACCATCTTGCCCAGTTGCCCGAAGTTCTCTTTTGGTGTTTAGTTTAAAAGTGCTGTTCTATATGTCCTGATTTTTATTGGGCACTGAAGTTTCAGGCCTCCCTCGGTAAACACAGAAGGTTTAATAGAGAACATAATCCTGTACCCAATGTGTGCATATGTTTTGTGTGTGTTTTTATTTTTTTAGTTTTTTTAAAATTTAAATTTACAGTATTTTGGTTAGGGGTTGGTGGGTGGTGGTGTACTAGTTGTCAAACACAAGTATAGTTAGTTTAGAAAAGTAGAAAATTCCAGAAGATAAAGTTGCAAAATGATGTCATTCATTTGACTTTAAAAGGTAGAATAAACCTTTTAACGGATATATCATACTGTATTAACTAAGTCACGTAGCTACATAGCTACACTGACCGCTAATCAGTAATCATACACACAACATATGACCACGTAAACGGGTCGGTTATTCCAATTACAATACGCTGATAAAACCACTCAGCAGTTCATAGATAAGAGATACACCAGAAAATAACGGGAGGTGAATAGCAGAAGTTGGAAATGAACGAGAGTTTACTTGTTTGGCTTGTAATCATGTCCCTAATTCCCCCCTGGATGCTGTCGTGACATCATATGCTCAGACTTCTGCAAAGACAAACAGAACATATTATAGTCAAATTATAGTATCTAAGATAATGTTGTTAAGGCGGGACTTTCAAGGCGAGGTGCCACCCGAGTGAAAGTAAAGAACATACGAGGTAATTGATATGCTTACAACCGAACACAAATGTACTAAAATTTGTATGAAAAGAATTCCCGCCAACACGTTGGCTTGCTCGATCATTTTTTGTATCAAATGAGATGGAACTGACCTGCTCGGTGTATGGCAAGTATTTCCCGTCAAATGTCACAACGGCACGATCTTTTCCATCTACACCTTTTACTTTATCAACCGAGCAGTAGAAGTCTATAGCTGACATGCTGAAAATTAAAAGCAAAACAATTTAGACAGTTTAGTAAATATATTCACTTCATCAAGAACAATTGAAAATGAAAACTACAAACTAAAGTATCAAACTTTAGAGCACTAAAACTAAAAACTTACATGCCATCTCCAAATTCCTCATTAATAATTTCCTTAATGCTCTCCCCAAAATGCATAACAGCTTCATTCAATCTGTAAAATGAAACTAACCAAATTATGGAGGGCACACTAAGAAAGATGAAGGACTAACTATTGACTGAAAGTTCACTGAAGCTACCAAAAAAAATTGAAAACTGAAACAGGGTATAAAGAAGCAAAACGACATTCATAAGTGCATTAGTACTACCTTTCCAAACTGAAATGCCCATAGAATTTGAAAGAAGAGTTCCAAAACCACAAAACCAAAACCAATCCAAGAAACCCAAAGCCCAAAGGCGACAACTTTTCGAGATAAAACTAAAGAATTGAAGGAAAAAGGGGGACCTGTAAACAGTGGGCTCTTGGATAAGATTGGGATCGTAGGACCTCATGGGAGGGCGCATCATTTCTTGAATTTGATGATCGACCAGGCTGGGCAGCGCTTCCCGGAGCTTGGGGACAGTCTCGGGCTTGAGCTGGGCCTGGCGTTTCAAGAGCTGAGCTACATAGACGTTGGTCAGACCGGTCTCCGCCGCAATCTGACTGTAAGTCTTGCCGGAATTCCGCCGCACGTCCTGTAGCGACGCCACCAAGCTCGATTGGCTGCTATGCTTATCCATGCTTGATCACAAAATTAGTGTCTATCACAATTGCAGAGACTTAGAGAATAAATAGACGTGCACAAACACAATTGTTACACCCAAATATGGCATTTAGCGACGGCTACAAATAGTCACTTTTTGTGTACACAATTATTACCCCAACATTTAGCGACGGCTACAAATAGTTATTTTTTGTGTTTCTCGGCGATTATTCAATCGTGACTAAATACTGTATCGTGAAAAATTTAGCCGTGATTTTTACAATTGTCGGAATTATTGAAAAATTTATTTTGCGACGATTTTGAATGCATTTAGTGACAGTTTTAAAACTGTCGCTAATATTTCTTTAATATTTATTTTAAATTTTAGCGGCGGTTATTAAGTGTCGTTAATAAAAGAATATTTTTTAATTTTAGTGTTATTAGTAGCGGTTTTGTAACTGTTGCTAAAATATATTTTTATTTTCTTTTAATATTTTCTCATCTAATAGCGATTGCTACTAAAATTTGTAATTGCAATTGAATTACTTTTTGTTGTAAACCTCTATTTCCAAATGTGCATTGCAAACACAAATACATACACATTTTATTTAAAAGAAAATCAAATGTAACTTGTATGGTCAAATACTAATGTTTAACAATATTCAAGGAAATTTACGTATTAAAAGAAAATCAATTCTACATATTAAAAAAAAATTGTAAATAATACTTGTCAAATAATAACATTTAACAATATTCAAGCACAAATGCACAATAGTCTACGTATTAATTAAATTCCATTTATAACTAAAAAGTATACGTTATATGAAGCAACATTGTAGTTCATTCAACGTGACGCTATCATGCAAGATATTTCAGATTTTCTTTACGATGAAAATTTATTTCCACTTCTTGGTAAAGATTGATGACCACTTTCTTCATATGATACCTACATTACAAATGTAGTTTACAAATCAATTAATAAAAAAGAAATTAACAAAAGCAAAAGCAATTCATAATTTGTATTTTTAATTTTAAAATAGAAAGATGGTGACTACATACCATAAAATAAAGGAATAAAGTTCAAATTGGTAACTGAACGTCACCTGAAAATGCAATTAGGTCACTGAACGAAAAAAAAGTGCAATTAGACAACTGAACACTCCAAATGTATGCAATTTCACCTGATAGCAAGAAAAAAAAAATGATGGCGGGGTGATACATTTGGAGTGTTCAGTAGCATAATTGCACCTCTTTTTTCCCGTTTAGTGGGCTAATTGCATTTTCAGGTTATGTTCAGTGGCCAATTTGAATCTTATTCCTAAAATAAAATATATGTTCACCTTGTGGTTGTAGTTTAGTGGTAAGAATTCCACGTTGTGGCCGTGGAGACCTGGGCTCGAATCCCAGCAACCACATATATATTGTTTGTTGCTCATTGGTTTAGTAGTCCAATATTTAAGAGAAGAAAATATATATATAAGTCTCAATGAAAGTTATATCCTTGATTTATGTCTCTCTTTTTGTATGCAAATAAATGTGTACATTTTACTTTAAATGTTGTACATTCCAATGTTATTAGACAAAACTACCATTACACCGTTATAATACCGTTAGTTTTTAATTCTAACTTTAATAACACATCATTATTATCATACACCTATATCTATCATATTTTTTTTTCTATTTTTAATTATCATTTTATTAAAATCATACTATATTACCAGGACTATGTGGTCTAATGGTACCCGGGTTGGACTTCCATTTGGAAGATTATGAGTTCGAAATGTGAAAGTAGCTTTCAAAAAAAAAATCATATTATATTAATTTAATACTTAATTATATTTTAATTAAATTTCTATGAATGATAAATTATATATGTGTGTGTACAAAATACATATATTATTTGTATATATATAATTCAAATTATAATTTTTAATTATTTATATTTATCAATGTTTTAATATTGGGCATGAATTTTTGTGCATCACGCGTACACACTGCTAGTTCATAACATACAAGTGAATCTTATGGTGTGTTTGGTTCGCACATAGGAATCGAAATCGTAATGTGTATCAAATATTTGGTAATGGTAATGGATTTTGGTGAAAGTATTTTACATGTTTGGTAATAGGGTGGAATGAGGATGATTACTAATAGTAGTGCTTGAGAATGAATAAAAGAATGAAACCCTTATTGTATTTAAATATGAGTTTTTCAATTGATGGGGTATTCGAAACCCATAGTAGTGTTTCAATTATATATACCTCAAGCCCTCTATAGGTTCTCATGTGTCAAAATCTACTATAAGGGGGTGTTTGGTTGGATGGAAAACATTTTCCATAGAAAATGTTTTCCTAAAAGTGAAGGAAAATGATGTTTTATGTTGTTTGGTTGGATGGAAAACATTTTTCATTAGAAAAAGTTTTCCTTGAGAATGAGGAAAACAAATTCCTAGCCTATCCTAGGTATTTTGTTTTCCATGGAAAAGGCTTTCCATGGAAAACTAAAATGACAATTTTAGCCTCACCATTATTTATTAATTACTCTTATTATTATTATATTATTATTGTTGCATAGAGTCATATTTGTCATTATACACATTATTCCTTACCATTCCAAACTCAACTAAACACTGAAATTCATATTCCCAGTAATTTCTTTTCCACCAACCAAACAATGGAATCTATTTTCTTAGAATTTATTTTTCATAGAATTTCAATTCTATTTCCCTTCAAATATTTTCCAGCGAATCAAACGAGCTGTAAGAATTAAGAAGATAGAGTCCAGGCTAATATCCCCCCTGTTTAGCAAGGGACGCATTTGGCCCATCACCAGCAACATCATTAGTAGCATTAGTGACTTGCTTTGCAAGGCTTGCTCCTACATTCTTGACTTTGTTATTGAATTCAACACTTTTTGCAACAGTGACGCCATCCTTTGTCACTTTAGGAGTACCACAATTTTGTTCAGTCACAACATTACGTCCCTTAACAGCGTTTGGTTGGAATGGGAGAATTACGTGAAAAAGGAATTGTAATTCCATAGGAGTTAAATTATTGGGAATAAAGTGGAATTTGAATTCCAGTGTTTGGTTTACAGGAATAGAATTAATGGGAATTTTAATTTCAATGTTTGGTATACATGGGAATTGAAAGGGAATAAGTAGTATAAAGTCCAAAATGTCAATTATTATTGTAGTATTAATTTTAGGTTAAAAAAAAAGAGGGATAATTTTGTCTCATCACTAGTTTTTTTTCTTCCTAAAATCCCAAGAATTAAAATACCGGGGGACATGTGATTTTAATTCCATGAAAATGGAGGAATTGCAATTCCTTCCAACCAAACTAAGGAATTTTATGACCTTTGAAATTAAGTGGGAAGAGAATTTAAACTCCCTCCAACCAAACACCCAGTAAGAAGTGAAAATAGAAATATGTTAAATTAAAGCACTCATACTAACATAGTATCTTATTAAAAACATTCACAGAAATTAGTTCCCTTATATAGTTATATTCACAACCAAGCCCCAAGCCTCCAACCTTACAAACAAGACAAAGACAATAATAACACTCGAACTCTCACCCCTTCTCTCTCTATCTCTCACAGGCACAACACTCACAGGGCGTTTGGTTGGAGGGGGGGAATTATGTAGGAAAAGAATTGTAATTCCATGGGAGTTGAATTACTGGGAATAAAGTGGGAATTTAAATTCCAGTGTTTGGTTGATAGGAATAGAATTACTGGGAATTTCAATTCCAATGTTTGGTATACATGGGAATTGAAAGGGAATAAGTAGTATAAAGTCAAAAATGTCCATTATTGTTGTTAGACATTAATTTTAGGTTAAAAAAGGAAGGGGTAATTTTGACTCATCACTATCTTTTTTTCCCAGGAATTAAAATACCAGGGGGGACATGGGATTTTAATTCCATGAAAATGGGGAATTGCAATTCCATGGAATTGCAATTCCCTCCAACCAAACTACGAAATTTAATGGCCTTTGGAATTAGGTGGAAATTAAGTGGGAAGGGAATTTAAAATCCCTCCAACCAAACGCCCTGTCAATGGTCAATAGATTACACTGTACTGCAGAACTGAGAAATTTACTTGATCCAGTGTCCTCTAATTCAATTATGCCAATACACTTTTAATCTCTATTGTTATATAATTGCCAAAATCCATTAACATGAATTTATTTTTGTTTCATTTATAATCAATTTTCAAAGTTAAAAATGACGTTCACATAGAGAGAGAGAGAATGAATCTTCAACTATGACAGTTCACAGATGATTCTAAATGACAAATATATAATCTCGTAAAAAAGAGTTTGCTAATGGAGTTTAATAATTATATAATACCAAGAACTAAAAATGCAACATAATAAACAACTAAGGGGCTATATCTGTTTAAATCAACTAATAGAAACTAAATTTCAAAGTTGAAGATTTTGTAGTCAAGCGGCATAACTTTGATTCTTCCAAATGAGAAGTTATATGTTTGAACTCTAGCGTACACAGTGACTATTACATTGTAACAGAGTCAATATTGCTAAGAAAAAAAAACCCAACAAATATTGGTTTTTACCAAGAATAAATTAAACGACACTATGACACACTTTTTGCCAGTGTGTTATATGCCTTGCCAAACCCCAAAGTCTCCTTAGATTGCTCGAATCCCTATTTAACCTTCCCACGAAGCAAAACCTGTCAACTTTTTTCTTTGATTTGCATCTTTATTGATCCCTATATAAAGCTGCAACACAATCATTAATATATCACAACCATTTATTCTTCTCCATCTTCTACCCTTGAGAAAAATATTTGAAATAATTTAACAAATCCTTCTCTACTCAACATTAACCATGTATGCTGCTTACGAGGGTGTTGAGTACAGGTATTATAGGTCTGCCTCTAAGTTGACATGGTTAGCACAACTCTTTGGCCTCCTAGCTTTGATTCTTATGCTGGTTTGGCTGTTGCATTATCGGGAGGGCCTTGATCTTGATTCCGACGACAATCTAAACAGGATTTTCAATGTATGTATGATTTTTTTTCTTAAATTTTTATAACGAGAGAAACCAGCTTAAGTTATATTTATAGCTGAGAGACTCAAACAAAGAAGGCCAATAGGCCTGACCCTAGCTGACAGAGGTAAATTTAACTTTATCTATAGCTGACCAGCTCAAACTAAGAAGATGAATGAGCTGTTTCCGGAGTTGAACTTGTAACCTTGTGCTGATCTTTGTATAATTATCTTGTTTTTTTATGAGAAAATATTGAGTTTCAATTATTCTCAAAGTGGCGTCTAATTATTGATATTCCATGATTATATATATAGGTTCACCCATTTCTCATGTACTTTGGGTTCATCTTCTTTGCTGGTCAAGCGATGATGGCGTACAAGACAGTGATGGCAGCAAGGGATGTCCAAAAATTCACCCACATGCTATTCCACATGATTGCCATTTGTTTGGGGATTGTGGGAATACATGCCGTCTTCAAATTCCATGATAGGGCGAACATAGGGAATATGTATAGCTTGCATTCCTGGATTGGCATATCCACCTTCTCCTTATATATCTTGCAGGTACACATACTCTCCAAAAAACTGATTTCGAAGTGTTAGACCACCTGACCTAAAGTCAACACTTCAGCAGGTGGGAGTGGAACTCCCACCAACAGCATCTCAAAACTAGGGTTCGTCAGGCTAGGGTTCTGGGGGAACTTACGATTAGTATAGAAAAAAAAACCATAATTTTGGAGTCAGGTCATGAAGTGGCCTGAGCAGGGACACCTTTAAACTTGTACCATACTCAGACTAATTAATTCCCATTCGCACCAGACCGACCCAATTAAGGACAAAGTGCTGGTCAGATTGTTTTTTCGTACAGAGTGGGGGTTTGAGTTCTCTAACTCTATTAAGAGATGAGAGTGCACGATTACTCAGGTCAACTAAGCTGGTTATTAATTTTGAGTTTAATTGAGTTTTTGATTGGCAGTGGGTGATCGGTTTGGTGGTGTTTCTGTTCCCATATGCTAGCCAAGAAACAAGAAGTAGGTTGGCGCCGTGGCACATCACAGGCGGCCGTGCGCTACTGTACATGGCGATCTGCGCGGCGGAGACGGGGCTCATGCAGAAGGCTACTTTTCTTAAATTGCAGTTTACTCGCGAGTCAACCTTAATCAACATCCTCGGAGTAGTTATCCTCCTCTTTGGGATCAGCGTTGATATTTCTGTCGCCCTTTCTCGTTACGTCTAATATCTGATCTGGCTACAGCACTATTGTATCCATTCTTAATTATACATACGTGTGATGCTAATATTATTATTTATGCATGTAAGGGGCTAGGTAGAATGATATTGTTTTGGTGATTTAATTTTGTGTGCAAGAAATAATAAAAATGTATGTTCAATCAATCATGGGAATGGAAAAAAGTTACACTCTTGTAAGTGTTTGTTTTATTTACTAATTGTGAACAAAGTGTGTGTATATATATAGCGGGGTTCTGGTGTGGACCGTGTGGTAGTCTCCCCAGGTGCGACCGTGTAGAGGATGAACTCATACTAATGGCATACAACACGCATACATGGGGGACGCAGTGCACGTACATACACTTTGTGGTACACAACAGACTAGCTAGCACTTAGTGCATCACAAAAATATACTTGGTGTAAAAAATTTAAAAAATATCACCTTATTTTTTACTTCTCATTGATTTTCAGCCACTTGATGGTGCACCACATACTAACACTTAACACTTAATGCACCACAAAACTATACTATCTATTTGATATGTTTAGAAGGACAAAAATGCCACTACACTTTTTTTCCCTTTTCATTGATCACCAACCTTGCTTTATACCTTTAATTTCAATCTCACCATTTAACTTCATTTTGATCTTAAAAACCCATTTCACATCAATAGCCTTGTGACTCCGCAGAAGATTTGCTAGTTCCAACGTTCCATTTTTTTATTTTTTTTTTCAATTGAAGCATCTCCTCTTCCATAGCTTTCTTCCATTAGGATTTTGAATAGCTTCTTCAAATTTCAAAAGTTCAACTCCTACTAATAAAGTATAGTGAGCCAATGCACCATTACCATTGATTTTATCATCATGACTTAATTGCCTCATAATCTTGTAAATGCATTGACATTTGCCTTTGATGTCAATCTGATCCCCTTGGTTGTTCAGTGAGTGTCGTAACTGATGTTACAACACGAGGTTATGCTACTGTTTCTGTTGGAATTTCGGTAACAACATGTTCATCACCACAATTGCACTCAAGCATTTATATTCACCTTTAGAGATATCAACTAGAAACATTCTATTATGTGATAAATAAGTTTTATGAATTAGAGTACCTTGTTTATCAAAAATCGAGAATTGATTGGCCGGAATATTCATCACATACCCTTTTTCGGCCAATTGTCCTATGCTAATTAAGTATTTTACTCTTCATGTGTACATAGAAAACATTAGAAATGTACCTGTGATCTCCATTATATTCCTCAATGTGATGAGTATTTGCCATTTTCCCGATCACTGGAATGGTTCTACCCTCACCAAACTTGACAGTTATACGGAATGATTCGTCAAGCTCAGTGAACAACTCTTTCATGCCACACATATATATGATTCGTGCAGCCAATATCTAAATACCACGTGTGTCGATTTGGATTGTCATTTTATAAAACCATCAAACTAGCATGGTTTGTTTCAACATTTATCACTTCCAACACCATCCAAGTTACTAATCTCTTGTGCATAATTACCAGCCTGGTTGTCATTCTTGTACCAGCATTCATTTGCATAGTGGCCACGATTGTGACAACAGTGTCACTCTACATCTGATTTGACATGCTTCCCTTTGATGCATCCACGACCTCGACCTTTCGAAGTCGATCTGCGTGTTGGAGCTTGCATGTGTTGGAACACATGTTCTTTTTTTCACCACGACCTTTGTTGAAGTGATTGTCACTTCTTCCTCTACCTCTACCTGATTGAGGCTTGGGCTTAAAGAGATAGCTTCTCAAATTTGTTATCATTGTCATTCGACCTCAACTCGTGTACTTGCAATGAACCATACAATGACCTGATTGTTGTTAGATCATTAGCCTCACAGGTCGTCATTGTTTTTTCTTTTTTTATTAATAATAAATAAGTAGACTTTCATTTATAAGTATTATTTTTTTTTTTTCATAAGTAACTTTTTAACTCTTATTATATTTTTCTCATAAATACTTTCAATTTATTCTTGATTAATATTACACATTTTCTCAAAAGCAATTGTTTAACTCCTACATTTTACGGAGTATATTTTAATTTAGAAGTATTATATTTTTCTTTAAAATATTATATTTTTTCTTCAATTCAAAAGTATTTCACTTCCTAGTAATAAACAATTTATTCCTATTATATTTTTTAACATAAATATTACATTTTTATCTTGATATGAACATTCCGACGAATCACAGGAAACATTCTTTACATACCTTCATACTGTCGGTTGTCAAGATCGAACTAACCCAAAAATCCAAAATATATATGCTCTCGTTTTACTGTTCTAGAACAAATTAAAAGAAAAAAAAGAGAGAGAGAGAGAGAGAGAGAGAGAAAAGATGCAAAAGGCATTCCTTGGAACAGCAGTAATTGAATAAAGAACATATCCTTAGGATGAACAAAATGTTTTCGCATGAAAGAATAAATTAAACGACACACTGATGATGATTTCCGCCGCATGACACTTTTTTGCCACTGTGTTATATATGCCTTGCCAAACTCCAAAGTCTCCTTAGCTTGCTCGAATCCCTATTTAACCTTCCCACGAAGCAAAACCAAAATTCCACTTTTTTCTTTGATTCTCCAAAAAAAAAAAAAAAAAAAAAAAAAAAAAAAAATTCTTTGATTTGCATCTTTACAAATTGATCCCTATATAAAGCTGCAGCCCTGTTGCAACAAAATCATTATATCACAATCATTCATTGTTCTCCATCTTTTACCCTTCAAAAAAATATTTGAAATAATTTAACAAATTCTTTTCCACTGAAACGTGCATTAACCATGTATGCTTACAAGGATGGTGATCGAGTACATGTATTATAGGTCTGTCTCTAGTTTTTAAGATGTTGTTGGTAGGAGTCGAACCCCCACCAACTGTACCGCTGAATTAGGTTCCCCAAGTTCAAAAGAAGTATGGAGATTGGTCCTTTGTATGCCCGCAAAGACTCTTAGATAGGGGTTCTGGGAACTTAATATTAGTAAAAAAAAAAAAAAAAGGAACGTAACTCATGATTTCTGACTAATTTTTCTGTTGGGACCGTGACTTTGATGGTCGAGTTTAGCATCCTGCTATCAAACCATGATGCTATGGCTTACCATGGAATGATGTGGTTAGTCAACATCCTCTTTGGCATCAAGGTTGATGTTTTTGTCGCTCTTTGGCATCAGCATTGATGCCTAATATCTTAATTTTTAATATAATATAATTATTATATATGCATGTATGTGACTAGGTAGAATGACATTGTTTTTGTGTGGGAACTATGTACAAAGTAGGTAGATTCCTTGTGCGCACTGGCATTTGGCCCTGTCCGCTGAACCCATTGAGTCGCCCGTGACTAGGTAGAATTACATCCTCCCAAATACTCTGTCGGGCAGGGGTGTGGAGGACCCTTAGGATTGGAGATTCAGCTTTTAGGAGAATGACGTTGTTTTGGTGATTAATTAATTATATTTTGTGTGCAATAAATAATAAAATGCATGTACGTACAATCAATATGGGAATGGAAAATCAAATGGCTTGTGGTCCACTGGTATTGGATTGCTCTCCTATGTAGAAGGTTTAGGTTTCGAGCCTCATTGTAGGCGTATCCCCCTTCCTTTGTAATATAAAAAAAATGGTATCGAATCCCTCCTCTATGTGGGAGGTCTAGGTTTTGAGCATTCTTGTAGGCATAGACTATATGAGTGTCCCCCTTCGTTCGTTTGTAATAAAAAAATATGGGAATGGAAAAGTGTTTGTTGTATTTAGTAATTGTGAACAAAGTACAACTACACAACTTCTCTCGACAACATTAACTTGTTGCTTTCATCCATACAATATTGCTTGTTTTCCACCTACATCTATCATCAAGAAGAGTAGTATCCATTTGTATAGCAGTCCTTTATGAACTCACTTTTGTCAATTAAATTCACTTCTTTTCCGTAAAAGTACCAATCGCTTATTGCCTTCGAATCAAGCTGTAGATATAACAAATTAAAGTGAATTTTATTAGAATCTATCCATAACCCAATATATTATAACTTATATTTTCTTATAAATCGTCATGCCGGGTTTTGTAGCTCATTACCACATTGTTCACTTGGCTATTAGGGTTAGCCCAATAACCAGTGGCAATCTCTGTATGAAAGAAGCAGTTATTGATGAAGATTCCAACTGATGGTTTGTTGGGCAACGCATCCAATAGTTGCAATCTGAAACCTAAAACCATGGAAAACACAAAGGCATTCAATAAGGCAAATTATATCATGGACCAGTTTTCGTCTTGCATTGTGGACCGGTTCAAAATGACATTTAGACATAATAATATATAAATTGCAGACACAAAATTCTAGGCATGAGACTAACCTTTCAGGCCTTCATATATAGGTGTAGCCAACTGTACGTGCTCTCTAATGGTTCTGTTGGCCGCGACAAAACTCTCATGCATCGAAATATTTATCTGACAAATTAATGTTGTTGATTAGGGTTTATGTTTTAATTTGTGTTTTTTGCATCTCAAACTTGTTGATCGAAATGAGGGGAGGGGGACTAGTCAAACACACCGTAGTTAACAGCCATTTACCAAACACCTCCTTAATGATAAATACCTGATGTTTATCATATGACGACATCAAAATGAACATTGGGGTCTTCATACCATCCATCAAGTATTGTGGGAACATGCACTGCAAATGATTTGATTTGATTATTATATGTATATAGATATAGATAGATAGGTATATATATATATATATATATATATATATATATATATATATAATAGCTCTTACAAGATATGGCTTATCTTTCATTTTCTGAGTGCATGTCTGAGGTAGCATCCCAGTAGAATTCTATAGTCATGAGTCAATAAGCACAAATAAGAAAACAAGGAAAAAATATAAATATAAATTAAAATCGATCAAGAATAGGAAATTGGAAAAAAGGATCATACGTGTAGAGAAACAACATTCTTGAACGTTAATTCAAATCCTTCGACTTGTTTGGGATTATCTTTTTTCCTGAAATGTTGCAGTTTGGAAATTTTAGGTATTACTTTTATAAGGATGATGCTATATATATATATATATATATATATATATATATATATATTTGGTACATCTATCAAAGTTTTATATTTTTAAACCGAGTTTAAATCTTACACGTGGATAAAATAGCCACCATCCATAAGGCATTTGAATCTCCGAGTGTTTGGCAGGAGCTTACGAAAACGATCACAATGCAATGCTACAGATACTGCTCCAGCAGAACCACCAGTAAGAAATACCTATCAGACAAATTAAGTGTTAGTCCCGGGTTACGGGCTTGACCCGGATCGCTCTTGTTCTTTTCTTGGGGTGGTTAGTCCCGGATTATATTTCTAATATATCCATCAAAGATTACATACCTGTTTAGCATTCTTCAATCCCTTGTTCAATAATTCATCCGTTATCACATTAAAGATCCTTTTACCTCTGAAGTAAAGGTTATCAACCTATATGCAATGTATTGAAACATTAATTATTGTTATTCCAAATATATGTAAATACAGAAGTCGTTAAAGGCTGGCTTACTGGCTCTTCAACATCTCCGGTAAATGAGGATCCATCACAATATCTTATGACGACCAAGTTCCAGTTGACAAATTCTGCACAAATAAATACGAACAAAACTAATGTTAATATATGATAAGCCATTAAATGAGGAAAAAAATGGTGAAATAATGGGACTTGCCAGAAGGATTATATGCTGGATCGCGGTTTAGAATGCCATAAAATCCAAAGTCATAATCCCCAGGGAAGAAAGGGTTCATCATCATATGTTTGGATGAACCCTTGTGTTCCAGTGTACGCAATTTGCATTCCTCTATACTCTCGCACCATGCTCCGCCCTAAATTCATAGGTAAATTACAATTACTCAACGGTCCATTATGTGGGAGGACCTGTGTGTGTAATATCCACAAAGAGCCACCCCTACAATAAGGTGAAACTCTCACATTTTCCTACACTGAGGCTGTTAGTGCTCAATTTTGCATTCTTACCAGCAATCTATCGCCCAGAAACTAACTAACTGAGCTACCCCCAGGAACTAACTAACTGAGCGACCTATGAGGTAGAATCATACTGCTGGAAATTATTGAATTTTCGACTACCTGAAAGTGGGTATCCGGAAAAATCTTTATTACTATTTCCGACCACTTTTTACTTACGACTTGATTTAAGATCACTTTCTGGTGGTTGAAAATTCCATAATTTCCAACAGTGTTATATGCATTTTCTAATATTACATTTTAAAGAAATCTTAGTCCTAACCGAAAACAAATTAAAACGTTACACACATGCATTCGCTTACCTCCATGTAAATCAACCAATTATCTTTGTTTTCCACGGTACCTTCTACGAAATGGTATGCAGGGGGGCTTCCATCAAGACAAACTGCATAAAAAAAGTTTAACCACATTACCTTAATATATTGCATGGTAATTTTAATTACTTAAATTGCAAAAAGTAGGGTAAACAAAGGTTTTACCAGCTCCCATAGCCTTGGCCTTTTCAGGAAATATTAAAGGATAAAAATTAGCTTTAGTTTGCAGTACAAGCAATGCAGCACAGACAAGTAGGGTTAGCCATTGATGGCAGTTCTGTGCTATTGCCATATTGATACAAATTAAAGCCAAATGGGGACGTAGAGGTGATGATTATATCACCACCCCCACTGTGTTGGAAGGACTCAATGAGAAAAGAAAACAGACAATATATAGAGAAAATGAATAAGTTGTGGTTGATGGAGAAGGAGAAATGGAGGAGTATATATAGTAGAAAAGGGGTGGGGGGAAATATAAGAAGTTGTTCCTACAATTAAGGTACACTTCATATTACTAATTCAAATGTCCTAATAGCGTGGGGTAGATCGAATAATAAGTTCAACTTTGTCTTTATTAATTTCCTTAGCTTATAGATGTTACGTTCATGCATGCATGATTCATTTAAAAATGAGTAAATACTCAAAATGGTCCCTTGACTATAGCTAAATTTACAAATTGGTTCTCGACTTTCAATTTCAACCAATTAAGTCCTTAACTTTACAATTTTAACACGATTTGATCATCTGTCTATTTGACCGTTTGTTGACCGTGATCTTTGAGGATATATATGTAATTTCATGGTCCATCGTTGATTTTTTAAGGTTCCGGTTACATTTCCAGACCGCACTGTTACATTTGAATCCACTGCCGAAAGCAATATGCCAAATCCTGACGCCTTTCTTCATCATCCCTTTCGATTTCAATGTAGTTGAGTTCGTACCAGACCAAAGAAGACAACGTGTTTTCGAACCACAATCTGCCAAGTCCATATGCTCCGAAGAGAGTTGCAGGTTCTTCTGGAGATTGTCGATGACAGCGCGGCCACCGACGTTGATGCAGAAGTGTTCGAAGGCTTGTTTGAAGTCTGGAATGTAGGGTTTCCATTTAGGATTGAAGATTTTCCAGCCGACGATGGACCATGAAATTACATATATATCCTCAAAGATCACGATCAACAAACGGTTAAATAGACGGAGGACTAAATCGTGTTAAAATTGCAAAGTTAAGGATTTAATTGGTTGAAATTGAAAGTCGAGGACCAATTTGTGAATTTAGCTATAGTTGAGCGACTATTTTGGGTATTTACTCTTTAAAAATTTCAAGGGTGTTGTAATGTTTGTGCCCGTTGGCCTTTAGCTCTTAACCGGTGATTGCAGGATTGGATTACAATGTAAAGATAAAAGTGAAGTGAGTGTAGAACAATAGACAAGGAGAGCCAAGACAAGGGATTCTTATTCAACCATCTCTGTATTCCATACAACCATAACACATCTATATATAATATACAAATGTAACGGAAGACATAATGCAGCCATTAATCACTTAACCGTTACATAATCAATACTAATGATGGCCACAATAAAAACATATTTATAACACTCCCCCTTGGACATTATTTGGCTACGATCTTGCCTCATTAAAAACTTGCTAGGAAAACCCTGTGGAAAAAACCTAGACAATAAGAGAGTACAATAGAAAATATATTCATGCCTCATTAAAAACTTCACTAGGAAAACCACGTGGGAAAAAACCTAGATGAAGAAAAGAGTACATGATATATGTAAAAACATATATTGTATTGGTCGCCTCATTAAAAACCTTAACTTAAGAAAACCCTATGGGAAAAACTTAGTTAAGGGAAAAATAGTACACCATTAGCCTTCAGGGCATAATCTGCATAATCTTCAGGATTTTAGAGTTTGTTCATTTATTAACCAATTATTTTGCAATTTTCCCCATTGTCATTACTATATCATACTCATGCCTTGTTAAAAACCACACTAGTGAAGAAAAGAGTACATGGTATGTATATGCTGCAAAAAGTATAACTATTAGTCCTTTTAAGACCCAATTTACATGATTGACCAATCTACAGGATTGATTCGAGTGAATGTACTTCATGTCTCCCCCTGAAGATAACAATCTTCAGATTCTATATTTCCTGTAAATCATTGTTTCTAAAGGGTGTAGAGAAGGGATATGGTATAATCTTTCAGGATTGTCATTAGAATTTATCATATTTTCTCATGATCATCTGGACCAATAAAATTATTTATAGTTTATATTTTGTTGCTCCCCCTAAATATAATAATTTTTCTTTATCTACCCATATCAATCTTATGGATATTTTGTAGGTATATATTTGCTAACTTGTCACTGGAGCAAACCTTCTGAACAAATATTTTATCACTTTTCTGGAGTTCATGTGGATCAAGGTATTTTATATCATGAAAAAATATATACATTTTTATCTATAACAAGTATGATGACTTCATGCCAAAAAGCATCACTACGAGTATTTTTACCTTGATTTGCTATTCGTTATCTTATCTCATAACTTAACATCATCAAACTCTTTATATATTTCATTGATGTTTATACTATAAATATTGACTGAGATAATAAATAAGTCCATTATCAACTCTTTATTGAGCACATAATGGTACATATTATTCCTTCTATATGAGGATAATAACCCCATTCGCAACTCTCTAAAAAGTAAATAATGACACTTAAATAAATCCTCATTTCGGGAATTATATATCCATTAGGGATTTTCAAGATAAACTAGAGGATATATTTAGGATATTTTCAAGAGGAAACGATATTTGAGTTTTCCAATCACATATAACATTACTAGGCATGTTTATGATAATATATTTTCATACTTTGTTATGGGGGAGAAAATACATTTAAAAGATCATAGTTAGTAACTTACTAACTTCTATACTTCTTATTTTGTGATTTTCATTAATCACATTTTGAGAAAATCCATCAAGGATTTTAAATATAAGTAACAAGTTACCCATATAAATATGTGATAACTATAACTATTAGCTACATATCTAATTTATTTACTGCTAGTTTTATTAAATAGCGGAATATAAAGCCATGATTAATATTGGGTCTCTGCGAAAACCCTCCACTCACCTTTTATTAGCGAATTCTGATTTGTATGCCTTAATTGCTATTTTCTATGAAAACAGTTAGCACGCTGCAGGCGTTATACTACTATTTTCATTTCTGGATCCAGACTTAAGTATTTATGAGCAATAGAGGCAAAATATGTTGTCGACAACTGTAACATCTTTGTAGATATCTTTTATACACATGGCAATTTTGTATCAACCAAATATATGGCATTTCCCAAGATTATTTGAATTTGGTTGTTCCGCTTCCCCAGTATTTTAGTTGTTTGGTGCACCTACAATTTTACTGGGGGTTTTCGCCTTCTAGACGAATATCTTCAGGATAAAATTTTCTATATTTCTGGAGTGACGAAATTTCTATACTAGATCTAGTTTTGTAAATTCTTAAACCAATATATGCTTCCTGCATAATGGTAGAAATATTTAGTCCTAGTTGGGGATTTCAACTCTTAATATATATGAAATATTTTCTATGGACTTAGTCACTCTTTGAGATTTCTAGCAGATAATTTGTTCAATGTCTGAACTTCTGGTTCTATAAGGCTAGTACATGGGTTTGAAGATTTTTATCAATTTTTCGGCATTTAATTAATTAGAAATTTCAAATCTCTCCCTAATGTCGAGAAAAGATCTTATAATGCAACCAACATCACTGTTGATTTCTCATGATGGGATATAGCTAGAAGGATTGCATACTAAAAAAATTAACGCAGATAGGGAAATGCATCTTGTACTAGCGTATGCGATATGTAGTGGATCAGCATATTGGTGTTTTAATTTTGAAGGTCCCCAACAAAATATTTCCTCCAAAATTGCTTAATTTGCTTTCCGAACAAAGCTCTATTAAGATTTAGAGATTTGGTTAAAAAATATGATATTGTTTATCTTAAATATTTGTTTCATGAAAATTAGAGAAACAAGTGGAGTACTCAACATAGTATGTAGTGTGGAGTGAACTAACCAACATATCATAATTTCGTCTACGGATCATGTTTTCTATCAATTTGGATTCATGACAGATATTTTTTTTTTTTTTTTTTTTTGACAATTTGCCATAGTAAAATATCAAGTGATATACACATGCATACAATTGCCAATATAAGAGAATTATAAAATATTGTCTTTTGAGAAAAAAAAAACACTTATCTGGTTTGTTTCAGAATACTGTTTGACAATTGTATGGCCATCGCATGATCTCTTCTAATGTTGGTAATTGCCGATGTTGCCTCTTACATGTTTGATAAGGATAATAAAACTATCATAGATTGTTATTACGATAATCATTGCAATCAAAATGAAATGTGCCAATTATTAATCTTGGAGTTTTTATGAACGTACATGACTCCAATTTCGCAATATAGTTTCTTAAACAAATTGCCATAGTAAAATAATGCACATGTTATCTTCAAAAGAAAAACCTTATCTTGGCTCATCCAGGGTGTTATGCTAGTAAAGCATAGAGTACAAGCAGCTCATTTCCAAATAAATTGTATAACATAATCACAATTTGATGTCTGAGCGTATTCAATAATTTGAATGGCAATTTGAAAGCAATATATTTCTCAATGCTTAAAAAAAATCAAATTGCAGCCCCAAAACAATTTATACATTGATATGTATATCATAAAAGATTAAATAATCATAAGCCCAAATATAATAACCAATTAGAAGAAGGCATAAAATATTATGATCCATGTTAAAAGAAATAAGGTCAAATTTTAGTCCAAAAACTCATGACCCACTTTATAATTTCCGGAGGTGGCCCAAATCCGGGTCCAATTAATAAATTTAGGGTAAAACCCTTTTATTCAAGCATACTGCGTTCAACTCTACGGATCGCCCTTGCCACTGTCGAACAAAGCTGCCCGCCGCAGTCTACACGTAGCAACGCCAACAACCGCCGAGATCACCACCGATCCTCCCTCACCGGAGCGCTGAACAGCCTCCTAGCCCACGGCCTGAGCGCCGGCGACAACCATCGTCAGACGCCATCGCTGCCGCGGTTATGGCGATGTTTATTGAGGAAAGCTGAGCGATGGCCGCTCTGTCACCGCGAAGAGGCTCAAAAATGTTACTGGCGACGACTCCGAGCTCTAGGCGGATAACGGCGGCGGAAGATCGGACAAAAACAGGTTTTTTGTTTTTTTTTGTTTTTTTTAAAAAAACATATATTACAGGAGTATACATACGAAAAAACTTTTCTGTTTTTGTTCATTATTCCATGTATTTTGGTTTTGATTTCTATGCGTCAAAGCCAAAAAGCCAGAATGTTAATTCTGATCTATCTATTTCAATTTTTGTTTTTCCAAAAAAAATATGTGTATATTTCGAATTTAGTTTTTCGGAAAAAAAAAAAAACTGTATATATGTGCGAGAAGAAAAAAATTTCCAGAATATTTCTTAGGCATAATAAACTATGACCACAATTCATGAGTTTTACAAAAAAAAATTGAAACAAAATACATTATGCATATCATCATATTTCCAAATTTTCATGTATGTTTATGCTTGAACATATTGATTTGCATATAAAATATAGGGCAGAAACATATTCCACATAAGCTGAATTTCATAGTAAACAGCAACCGAACGCCAAATACTAATATAATATGTATAAAAAAATGCATAAAATTACCGTTCACCGGGAATTAAGCGTGCTGATAACGTGTTGTAATGTTTGTGCCCGTTGGCCTTTAGCTCTTAACCGGTGATTGCAGGATTGGATTACAATGTAAAGATAAAAGTGAAGTGAATGTAGAACAATAGACAAGGAGAGCCAAGACAAGGGATTCTTATTCAACCATCTCTGTATTCCATACAACCATAACACATCTATATATAATATACAAATGTAACGGAAGACATAATGCAGCCATTAATCACTTAACCGTTACATAATCAATACTAATGATGGCCACAATAAAAACATATTTATAACAAAGGGTAAGTTTTGAAGCTAACTAAATCGTGTAATATAAGTTGTTGGTAATTAATAAAAGTAATTCCTAAAATATTTCACTTGGATGGTTTGGTTTTTTAACTCATGAGTTAAATATTTATTTCAGTCAATAATCTATTTTAGGGATGTCAACGGGGCGGGGTGGGGGCGGGGGACATACCCCCCATCCCCGTCCCCGACTTTCTTCCCATTCCCCGTCCTCATCCCCATCCCCGCCGGGGAATGAAAAATTCCCCCCATCCCCATCCCCACGGGGATTATTCGGGGACAGGGAATCCCCACCCTGTTAACAAGTTATAAAAAATAAAATAAAAATTAAACATTAAAAAACATTTAAATAAATAACGCATATATATTCATCCCCAACTCAAAGTTGTATTCAATATTTTACAATTAAACATTTTATTTAAATATGCATGACATACAATGACAAGAATACTTCTAAAATTATATATATTGTATACAAAGTACTACATTTGTGTGTTGTGTGGCAATATATATATATATATATCGGGGATGGGGCGGGGCGGGAAAAGTACTCCCCATCCCCGCCCCCCGTCCCCGGCGGGGAATTCAAAATTGCCCCCATCCCCATCCCCGATCCCCTATTTCTGTCCCCATTCCCGTCCCCGTAAGGGCGGGGAATCGGGTTCCCCGTCGGCTGCGGGTTCAATTGACATCCCTAATCTATTTCCTTTTTATTGCATAGCAGCATTTATTTCACCCCTTATATTTATATAATATAACTACTAAATTATCAACATGGGGATGTAGCTCAAATGGTAGAGCGCTCGCTTTGCATGCGAGAGGCACGGGGTTCGATCCCCCGCATCTCCAATTTACTGTTTTCTGCAGTTATAATTCATACTCCGTATATATTTGTCTGGAAATGAACAAATGGGACGCTATGCATGCCTTGATGGGCTTTATAGTTTATACTTCCTTGCCGTGGGCTTGTGATGCAAATGCTAATTGCTAAATGGGCCTAAACATTGCACTTTTCTTGGACTAATCTTCAAATTTTCAATTATCTATAAGCAATAAAAAAAATAAATTATATACGACGGTATTTTTCGATTTTTTGCTAAAATTCAACGTCATATTGTAAGTTAATTTTTTTTTTTTTTTTTTAAATATACAATGTCAGTTTTCCTCAAGAACCAAAGTCGCATATAATTTAAAATTAACATATGCCGTCAGTTTTTAGCGTATGTTTATTTAAAAAATATACAACGTGACGTTGGTTTTTAATAACCAATGTCGTATCATTTATGTATTACGTCTATCAAAATGACGTCGACAAAAAACCAACGTTGTAGTATATCTAAAAAAATCGAGATTAAAAATGTTATTTGTAGCAGTGCATATACATATTGTTCAAACAGGCCTAGCATTGCTCCATTTTTCTTTAAGTACTGGTCATATGCTTTCCAAGTTGCTGTTTATTTATCTAATAAATCACATGCCAACACCCATTATAAATAATCACAGTCCTTACCAAAAGTTGTTTGCCAAGGCACTAAAAATTATGATAAAATTCAACCATTCCGTTGCCTTTACTTTCCGTGTTTAAATAAAACAATACGCACCAACCAAGCTCCAACAAAAAGCCGCCTTATGCTTTTGCTCTAATAAATCCCTTAATATGGTTACAATTTACAAACATTTTCATAAATATATTACACAACCAAATTAAATGTTCAAAATTGAACTTATGAAATTATATGAACAAATACAAAATTAATACTCACGGCTGGAAATCTCGCGTTTTCCGTCCAACAAATATTAGACGGAAAACGCAATATATTGGTCGGAAACGACGTTTTCGTCCAACATACCGACCAAAAGGAACGTTCGGAAAAACCTCCATCGGAAATTCCGTCCAACTACAATTTTTGGTCGGAAATAGCGTCCAACGAACAAAAATTGGACGGAAATTCCGGAAAGTAACCCACCATTTTCAAAACGTGGAAACTTCCAACCAACTTTGTGCATCGGTCGGAAATTCCGTCCAACTACGTTCGTTGGTCGGAAATTCTGACCTAGCTTTGGACAGAAAACTCACCTATTATATTTTGTTATTTTCCTTCCAACCGTTGGTAGGAAAATCCTAAATCATATGAAATATTTTTATTATTTTTATATTACCATAATTTTATTTAATAACTGTTGTTAATAAGTTATGTCATCAACAAATTAATGAACACACTAAATTGAAAATTTGATAATATATTTAAACATCAAAATTATTTACAACAAAAATGATGTTCATGTTCATAAAAAAAAAACATAAAAAAAATATATACTACTTGATTGATACTCCGTACTACTTAAGTATGAAAATATACTTATTTGATACTACGTAAGTATGCTCGCTGCACCCAAATAAGCCTTCAAATCCGGCACTGCTTCAATGGCTTTGATCAATGCAGCATCCACAACCTCCTTCAATGAAGTTGATCAAAAGTGTAGACCTTCACCAAAAATGGACCGTGATATAAGTAATCTAACACAGAATGAGTAGATACCTATGCATTTTACAAAATGACTAGAAAATTAAAGGAATGCCTTTTATGTTTAAGTTATCTAACACAGAAAAAATAGAAAACTTCTGAATTCTTACATCCTAATTCTAAAGTTTGTTTAGTAAATTAAAGGAATGTCTTCATCTGTTCATCCAACAAATAAGTTTTAGCTGGACACTAAATTAATTTGCAGTTCATGTGAATGTGTGAATGTGATATAAAAGGGAATTGTTCATAAGCATATCCTATGGCACTCAAAACAACTCAAAGAAACACCTCAGATGACTAGTTAATTTATTTGCAACTCTATTGAATTCCTCTTCAATACCATGCAATTAAATGTTAACTTCAAGATTAGTGATACTCCACAATTGTTCAAAAGATCACCATTGCTACATCCAAAGAAGCCAGATATGCAAGTAAAGGAAAGTAAGAGGAGATGAGTCTAGATGCAACACTTAAAACATACAAATTTAAATTAAGTTTAACACACACTCTACTCGCAATATTCACTAAGGTCATATACGTAATAGATCTCTCAAGTATAATATTTAAAACGTTTAAAGCACAATATAATAGTTTACAAAATAACAAAAGTAAAGATGTTTCTCAAACTATCACTACTCACTTTCAAAATAACAAAAGGAGGATTCTCAAAGTAATAATAACTTTCAATCATCAATCATTTCCGAACATAACCTTTCCAAAACTCATTTGCAACATATATAATATAAGCACAGAGAAATACAATTTCATATTTGTTCATAAACACTCCCAGGATATAATATAGATATGGAGGAATCAATAACATCATATACATAGCTCATTATATAATATAATCATTTCAAGTACAGATATTCTCAAATTCATTCTCATTATATATATAATACAAACCTAAACCAAACCCCCCCCTAACAGTTCAACAATCAATAATGGAGAATGTGACACTAATGATTAAATTTTAATTTAAAATAAAAAGAACTCAACATCAAAATTCTCAAAGGAAACTAGCTAAAGACAAATATGAAAAAGCATATGGAATTAAACCATAAACCCTATCTATCCCTGAAAGAAAAAATTTGATCTTTGACTGATAACTGTACCATTAGCAATTGTAAGAAAAAAATAATAAGTGTCTCAAACTTCCATGTTTTATTACCCTAATTTCCTTCAGTTGAGCATCCACAGAAGCCTTCTTAGTGTTCTCCCATGGTGCAATAGCAGACAACTTTTTGTGCGCCCGGATCATCATTGTTAAATATAATGTACGTGATTATTCAGTATTATACACTTTCTATGTACTTGATAAAATTTAAAATTCAACACCAAATTAAAACAAGTGGAAAATTAAATTAAAGTAAATAAAAAGCCTGGAATGGCAGGGAGGGGAATCATACTTGTTATCAGCTTTATCTTTCTCATTCTCTTCCCAATCTTTGATCAAAGCCAATCTCTTCTCTAACTCAAGCTGTGCCAAAGCAGCATCTAACACGTATAGTACAACAAGGGAACATCACTTTCAAACACAAAATTTTTAAGGCTTCAACCAGCATCAGTGTCTTTGTTTCAATATACAACCCAACCATATATGTTATTTGATTTCTACCATGTAACACTAGTACCCAGATCACCTAGTACAACTAAATACACACAATACATACCGCAGTTGATTGGCACCGTACAAAAATCAAATATAAATATAAATAGCAACTGAAAAATATTAGAGAGACTGAGAGAAGAAAATAACATAGAGAATCTCATTTATCTCATTGATACCTAATTCACCAAACTAACTAATAAACTTCATGTGATTGAAGACTACACACCCTTATTAATCATTAATTTACTCAATTCATCAAAGAACAACTAGATAACACATCCTTGTTTTCTTTATCCTATAATCTTATTGAAAAGAAAAAATAGGCAGCAAAGTGCCTACTATTAATATCAGCATTGAATAACTCCTAAATGTAGCCTGTGAAAATGAGGTTTTAACAAGAATTCCACAATAGAAACTAAGAAAAGCTAATCAGTTACATCTTAATATAATATGTTCAATTCCTACAGAGTAAAATGTTACAATTCGCACCATGACCTCTTATTTAGCTTGTCAAATGAAAGATAAGTTATTAATATCAATATAAAATGATTCAGAGCTCTTGCAAAAACAAGATTTGTAATTTTAGAGTCTTTGCGGACTTCCGTCAAACACTATAGAGACAGCCGATAAAACCGTTCAATTGACGCCTTAAGCAACATTGAAGGACATGAAATTAACAGTCAAATGGTTAAACAATCATCTAACAATAGAAGCTGTCATCCTTTAAAAAACAAAAAACAAAAACAAAAACAATAGAAACCATCATGAATTACAGAATCACCCACAATTTTACCTTACTCGGCAGTACTGTCGATGAGTAGTGATTGAACAAGAAAGGTTGCTTCATCTTGAACTAGAGCTCAGCCTTGGTTGCATCTTCCTCAGACTCACCGTGACTCCGTGAGCGAAGTCGCAGGATCTCGGGGCAGAGAAATCGTACACCTCGTCGGCCCGGAAGGCACTCGGATCATCCTCCGTCGCTATTGAGGACTAGGAACGCATATTACATAATATGTGAAAAGCATAGAAAGAACTTCTAATTTTGAAGATAATCAAGCTCTTACATTGTATGGGTTTAAGCATGGAAGCTTGTCGAACCCTAGCTACCATCAAGTTACCTTGAGAAATACTGTCAAAAAAAGAAGAGAAGAAAAAACTAAAAAATTACCATATGGTTAGTTAGTGATGATACCTAGAAAAATCCACAAAGTGATTTATGGTAAAGAGAAGGGAAATAGAGAGTGAACATAAAGAGAGATGGTGTCCGTGAGAGATGCAGGAGAGATGAAAAGAGAAGGGGAGGGAGATGAGTGACTGTAAAATTCTATGTAAATTGTAAAAGAGGCGCACAAAAACAAAATTTTGTTGGTGGGAATTAAATTTGAGTGAAATAATTTTCAGATATCAATAGTGAGAGTAATAATATTTTTTATATCAATAGTGAGAGTAGACTTTTAAAATAAGTATAAAATTAAAATTTGGTCACTAAAATATAAATCTTTAACGAGAGTAATTTTTAACCGTCACAAAAACTATGCAAATACTACATTTAGTGATGGGATTTTCTACCCGTCACTAATTTTTTGTCACTACAAATTGTTTTTCTTGTAGTGAGAAGGGAGAAGGGCATCCTTGGGCGACGTATTATGTTTGGGCGAAAATTACTCCGTATTTTTTTGTTTGAGAGGGAATATTTTTTGATTTGAGAGGGAAGACCTTTTTATTTGAGATGGTAGACTGTTTTTTCTCTAAGTAAGGGAGGATAATAAAAGAAATTAAATTTTTGCGAAATGTTCCGATCACCATGTAAATTAGATTTTTTTTAGACAAAAATTAAAATATCTACTAGCTAAAATATTTAAATTTCCGTCCAATATTATGTTGGACGGATATTAAAATACCTACTATTTTAATTTCTACCTATCAGTCAATTCGACTTTACCAACCAACACTATAGGTTGGTCGGAATTTCCGTTCAACACTCGCGCGTTGGACGGAAATTCCGACCAACCTTCCGTCCATCCATCTTTAGTAACAGAAAGTTGAAATCTTTAGTAAAATACCGACCAATTTATGGTTGGACGGAAATATTGGACGGAAAACGCGAGATTTCCAGCAGTGACTTGTGAAATCTTTTAGACTTATTGTTTAAAATGTAATCCAATTTGGGATGTATGAAGCCAATTAAATCCATAAACTTTAGTGGAGCATCTTAATGACCTTTTTTTAAATGATCACCCCCACACAGATTAAGATATTCTTCACAGAAATTAATAAAATGAACTTAATGATATGCATACTTATAATTGATTTGACCAACTAATTAATGAAGATATAATTCCCCACCATTAGCCGGGCATACTAAATAATCAATTTTTTGTTCCAATTAAAGTCCAACTAAATAATGTAGATATAATTCCTCACCATAGTTGGACATACTTAAAAAAAAAAAAAAATACACCTTCCGAAACCAAGTTAGAATTTGGCTCAAAAGATACATTTTATTTTTGAAATCCAAAAGAAGTATATCATATCAACTTACTATAGTTAGTCCACATGCAAGTTTTATGTCACTTGATTCTTCAACCTCATTTGATAATTGTTTCATCATAAATAAAATTTTCAGTGGATCTAATTGAATTAAAATTTTAGCCAAGTTTTATGTCACTAGATTCTTCTGGTTATTTAGTAATTGAGATTAAAAATTTAATAGAATTAGAACTTACAGATTTTTGCAGGAACCGGGAAGGGACTATTTTGAGACTTTTATTCCGGTGATTAAACCTGTCACGATTCGTATAATTTATTTTATCTATTGCCTTGTCACGTGGTTGGCCGCGATACGACAGTTGGACATTAATAATGCCTTTTTAAATTGGGTGTTGTCTAAGGATGTTTATAAGGAACAACCGACTGGTATTGTTGACACTTGTTTTTTTTGTCCCGAGGGCGTTTTACCTAGAGTTGTCAACCTTGCGTGGTTTAATCTCTTGTGGTTTTCATTAATCACTTGCTAGTAATTCTCTCTTTATATACGGTGTTGATAGAGTGATTGTTTACTTTCTTGTTTATGTGGACGATATTGTTCTCACTAGTAATAATGCCGATTTCTTGGATAAGTTTATTGGGTGTCTTGCAGCTCGGTTCTCTCTTAAGAACTTTGGCTTGCTACATCATTTTCTTGGCATGGAGGTCATTTCCACACGTGATAGTTTGTTTCTTTCACAAAGCCGCTACATTCCAGATGTGCTAGAACAATTCTCCATGACGGGGACGAAAGATGTAGCTACTCCAGATGTGCTAGAACAATTCTCCATGACGGGGACGAAAGATGTAGCTACTCCTATGTGATATCCGGACGAGTAAAACCAAGATATTAGAGACGATCAATGGCTTGTCTCCGACTGGTGTCCTTTTTTCTATTTCAGCTTTCTCTAATTCTGACTGGGGTGGTGTGAACGATAATGGATTAATGGACGGTCTACAACTGCGTATGTAATTTATTTTGGTGCCAACGTTGTTTCCTGAAAATCTTCAAAACAATGCTCGGTGTCTCATTGTTGTGGCTACAAAATTTGTTGTTTGAGCTTGGAGTTGTTCAAAAATCTCCTGTGCTGGTCACATATAACCTTCAATATTACTAATAATTCACACCGAGCTTAGTTTAGTGGTTTAGTAGTCAGTATTTGAAATAAGAAATCAATGTTTGGATCTCGACAGCTGTAGTGTGAAAAAAAAACATTTTCCAATATGTATAAAAGTGATCTTATTCTTATATTCCGTGCGAGACATTTTCTGTTTTGTGTATATTATATTGAGAAACATTTATCTGCAATCAAATGTTTATTTTATTTAGAAATTGTGAACAAAATACAAATGACCATATATATATATAGTCACATGGTTTAATTTCTTAGGCACAACTACACAATTTCTCTAGACAATTCAAACTAAACTTGTTCTCATTGAGGATCTTCTGATCATGCATAGTTTGTCCACCTACATCATGAAGAAGCCAAGTATCCATTTGCTATGCAATCCTTTATCAAGTCTATCTCGTCAATTAAATTTATTTCATTTCGATCGAAGTACCAATCACTTATTGCCATCCAATCTATCTGCATATAAATGCATAGTATAAGATCGAATTAATCTCACAATAATTTATTTGTAACTTAAAATATATGTAACATATATTTTCTTGTGCTAATTCTTACCACGTTGTTTACTCGGTCACCATCTACATTCCAAGTAGTCGTGGCGATCTCTGTATGACCGAAGCAGTTGTTAATAAAAATTCCATTTGATGGTTTGCTGGGCGGCAGTGCATCCAAGAATTGCAATCTGAAACCTGAAACCATGAACACATAGAAAAAAAGCATTCAATAAAGAGTTTCTAGCATGATGCGTTTCTTTTTTGGGCTACAAGAAAAACCCGTTAACAAATGATCAGAAAGAGATAATCTTGTCTTGTGATCCTGGTCATTTACAAATGATCAGAAGGAGATAATCTGTCTTGTGATCCTGGTGAATAAATGACTAGAAGGAGATAATTCATCTTGTGATCTTGGTCAATAAATGACCAGAAAGTTACCATTCTTGTGATCCTAGTCAGAAGGAGGTTACTACGACAGCAGGAGTTTACCTGTCTTGTAATCCTAGTCAGCAAATGACTACGAAGAGGTCTCTCGATCCTAGTCAATAAATAACTAGTTGGAGGTAACCTATAAGTGGAGTAGTGAAACTAACCTTTAAGGACATCATATATAGGTGTAGGCAAAATTACGTGCTCTTTGTAGGATTTGCGGACCGCAAAGTAAACCTCGTGACCCAGTGTAATATTCATCTGAGAAACTAAGGTTGTTAAAGTATGTTTTGTGTTGTATATATATGTAAGTTATTGAAATGAGGATCGGAGATACATACCTGGTATGCATCATACGGCGACATTAAAATGAAAATTGGTGTCACCATATCTCTCACCACGTATTGTGGGAACATGCACTGCATGCCACATTTTTATTTAATTATTATATGTAGTATATATAGCAGGTAGGTATATATCTTAAGTATAAGTCTATCTATATATATATATATATATATATATATATATATATATATATATATATATATATATATATGTAGCTCAGCTCTTACAAAATATGGCTTGTCTTTCATCTTCTGAGTGCATGTCTGAGGAAGCATCCCAGTAGAATTCTATAGTCAACAAGCACAAATAAGAAAATAATTAAAGACAAAAAATAAAGAAAATTGGAAAATTGATCAAGAATTAATAATGAGAAAGGTGCATACATGTAGGGAAACAACATCCTTGAACATTGACACAAATCCTTGGGCTTGTTTGGGGTCTTTTTTCCTGAATTTTACAAGGATATATAATGTTATTTGGAATTACTAAATTTGTATATTATTAAAATTGAGTTTAGATCTTACGCGTGGATGAAATAGCCCCCATCAGTCAAACATTTGAATTTGGTAGTGTTTGATAAGAGTTTATGAAAACGATCACAATGCAAGGCTACAAATACTTCACCAGCAGAACCACCGGTAAGAAACACCTACCACAACAAATTAAATTAAATGTTATTATGACTAAAACAATTATATATATATATATATATATATATATATATATATATATATATATATATATATATATATATATAGGCGGATTCAGGTGCGGCAGTGTCTTACGGTGCGGTTATTTCTTACGGTGCGGCAACACCAATAGTTCACCAAATATGCACCATCAACGTTAGGAAATACACCACACAAAACAGAATAAACAGAGCCCTGCATCACCAAACACACACCATTAGGTGTGAGTAAAAACACCATACACTATTCGGAAATACACCATTGGGGGTGGTGAGTTATATGGTGTGCTTTTTTGAGTCTGTGGTGTATTTTGTGATGTTTTATTACATTTCATTGGGGTGTGTTTTTATTACAGTGTTGATGCATATTGTTAACACTGTTGGTGTATTCTGAAATTTGACCGCACCGCCGCACCGTAAGACCCCGCCGCATATGAGCGCTCTTCTATATATATATATATATATATATATATATATATATATATATATATATATAATTGTGGCATTTAAATAAATACCTGTTTAGCATCCTTCAATCCTTTGCTCAGCAGTTCATTTGTTATGGCCTCAAATATCCTTTTACCTCTGAAGTAAAGGTTATTAACCTATATGTGGAATGTATTGAAACATTAATTGTTGTTATTCCATATAAATATAATATGTAAATAAATTAAAGAAGTAGTTAGGCTTACTGGTTGTTCAACATCTCCTGTAAATGATGATCCATCACAATATCTCATGATTATAATGTTCCATTTACGAAATTCGGTAGGATTAATTTTTGAGTTTTTGTTTAACATGCCACCAAACATAAAGTCATTATCACCCTTAAAGAAATCGTTCTTCATCATATGTTTGGATGAACCCTTGTGGTCAAATGTACGAGACTTGCATTCCTCAATACTTTGACACCATCCGCCGCCCTAAATCATTAAATGACCATTATATTAGAGTGCATTTCTCAAAATATTATATTATCCACCACGTCTAAAGTCATAACCTAATATAAAATGGTAATAAAAACATTTCACTTTTACCTCCATGTAAATCAACCAATTATCTTGGCCTTCCGGAGCACCTTTTATGAATTGGTATGCTGCGGGACTTCCATCAAGACACACTGCAAACAAAGTTACCACACAACATTACAGTGCACTATACTTACTAATACTGTGCATGCTAAGCATAAAGTTACCATAATTACTTTAGGAAAATACGTTTTTACTCCTCCTAAAATTAAGAGGGATTTTTATTTTTTATTTTTTTTATTTAGTTTGCCCAAATAGTTCCCACACCCCGATCTGACATGATAGTGGAGGACAAACCACGGTCACTCAACAGTCGGGAAGACTAGTGTCTGGTGTTCATAAGGAGTCTATTACATAGAGTGTAGCTCCTACACTGCGATTGAGCCTACTTACTCCATTGGCCTACACGTACTGTGACTAAGCCTATGCTAGCCCCTACACTGTGGCTAAGTTTACTACATTGAATGTAGCTCTTACATTGTGGCTGGGCCTACTACATTGGGTGTAGCCCCTAACACTGTGATTGTCGGACATCGACCCTGTGTCCTGAGTGTCGCTCTTATACTGCAATTGCCACAACTTGATTCTGTATCCCTACCCACAATTTTAAGGTTAATTATTTACCACCCAAGAATCATTTGAGATGTTCGTGCAGTCTAGTTACTCACCTACATAATTGGAAAAAACTTGGGGTAAACAAAAAAAAAAAATGGAAGAAGGTTTTACCAGCTCCCATAGCCGTGGCATTTTCAGGAAACGTTAAAGGAATTCTGTAAATAATGGCGGCTCTAGTTTGCAGTACAGCCAATGCACAGATCAGTAAAGATAGCCATTGATGACAATTCTGTGCAATTGCCATACTGTATACTCTGCAAATATTACAACAAATCAAATATTTTCCTTTTTCAAAAGCATGTAAATCATACATACAAAACTAAATTGGGATGAAAAAGAAAAAGAAAACCTGCCAGTACAAGTGATGATAATATCACCACCCCCACTGTGATGGGGGTGCTCAATGAGACAAGAAGACAGAGAAGATGAATAAGTTGTGCTTGATGGAGATGGAGAAATTAATGGAGGTGGATATATATATAGTAGAAAAGGGGGGTGGGGGAATCTATGGAGTCGGATCCTACAATTAAGCTTCACTTCAAATGTCCTAAAGTGTGGGGTAGCCCTACAAACTTAAAACTAGCTACAAAAAATTATATCATGCATGTATTTTTTTTATTTTTTATTTCAGATTATATTACTTGGAGTCCCTATTTTTAATCTCTCACTTTTTTACTCTTTAATATGAAAATGAATAATTAGTTATTTTTATCTTTTAGATTCTATGAAAAATATTAGGGAGAAGTGTCAAATAGGTCCATTTACTAGTGTCAAATGCTCAATTCCCACTACGAACTAAATTAAAGTTTAATTAACCACACTTACCGGCTAAATTTGTTCAATTGACTTTTTTTGCAAGTTGCTAACAAGTTACCAATTCAATTTTTAAAAAAAAAATAATTAAAAATGATTTAAAAATAATTTAAAATTTATAAAAAACAAAAAAGAAAAAAAAAAAAAAGATTTCAGCCACCGGCCGTCGAACATGAGGTCCAGATCTAGACCTCAAACATGACAGCCGTGGCTGTCTGTGAAATACTACTCAGCCACCGGCTGTCTGGCGGCCGGTGGTTGAAATCCTTTATTTTTTTAATTATTTTTAAATTATTTTTTTAATAATTGAATTGGTAACCTGTTAGCCACCTACAAAAAAGCCAATTACTTGCAAAAATTGTCAATTGAACAAATTTAGCAGGTAAGTGTGGTTAATTAGATTTTAATTTAGTTCGTGGTGGGAATTGAGCACTTGCTAGTAGTAGATGGATCTATTTGACACTTCTCCCAAAATATTAATATCAAAATTTTATGAGAGGGAGTACAATTTGAGAATATAAGTAGTATTTTTCTTTATTAATTTCTTTCCACATGTTCGTGCATAATTTATTTAAGATTTAGACCACATAATATCAATAAGGTTTGGGTACGAAATAGTTAGGCAAATTTTCTTAATTAACAATGATCCAAAATAGTGTTGTTGTTTTAATGAAAAGAAATGATACTTCTTTCGTCCAACTCATTACGTTTGTATAACGTATTCAATTTTATTTTATTATATATACTGTAATTTCATTACATTACAATTAAAATATTATTTTGATTTAATTACAGTTTCATTTGATAATATACCTTCAATATGTGAAACTTGTTATTAAATTTAATTTTATACACACTATAATTTTATTACAACACCACTAAAGAATAATTCTAATTCAAGTAGTATACGCATTTATTGGACAATATACACTTTTTTTTTTTTTTTTGAGAAGGGCAATATACACTTAAATATATAAAATTTGTTATTCAGTTTCATTTTATATACACTATTTTTTTTTTTTGAAACCATTTTATATACACTATAATTTCATTACAACACAACTAAAGTATAAGTTTGATTCAACCACAGTTTTCCATTTGACAATATGCACACAATATGTGAGACTTGTTAATTAGTTTCATTTTATAGACACTGTAGTTTCATTACAGCACAACTAAAGTATCACTTTAATTCAACTACAGTTTCATTTGACAATATACACTCAATATATGAGACATGTTATTTAGTTTAATTTTAGATAAATATTTCATTATAGCACAAAAGTATCATTCTAATTCAACTACAGTTTCATTTGACAATATATACCCAATATGTAAGACATGTTATTCAATTTCATTTTAGATATACTATAGTTTCATTTTATTCTGAGCACGTCATAAATACGAGATTTTTTTTTTTTACTTAAAGAAACATTGTCGTTGAAACATGAAAAAAAAAAAAAAAAAACTAACTAAAAATGAGTATTCATATAAACTCATGTATATTGTCTCCCATAACCCCGTAAGTCCCACTTACGCCCGTCAATTGCTCGGAAGGACGATTAATGCTCACCTCCGCCGTCTTGCTGCCGCCGCCGTCTCCGCCAAATTTGACCGGAGACTCCACTCCGCCGCCTGGCTTCATGCTAGAAAAGGCTATGGACTCAATTGCCCGGCAAATTATGCTGTGCATCCGTATGCACCATGTATGGTGCATACGGATGCAAAAACGACGCCGTTTTGTAAAAAACGCGCGTCCTACTTTAAAAAAAGAAAAAATTCAATTTCGATTCCCAGCAACAACATTATGTTATTCATTTTTTAGTTCATTCATTTTGGATTTTTTAGTTATGAAATTCTGGATGTATAGTTATGCAATTCTGGGTGTGTAGTTATGAAGTTATGGATGTGTAGTTATGCAATTTTGGATTTATAGTTATGAAGTTATGGATGTGTAGTTATGCAATTCTGGATGTATAGTTATGAAGTTATGGATGTGTACTTATGCAATTCTGGATTTATAGTTATGAAATTATGGATGTGTAGTTATGTAATTCTGGATGTATGCAGGGGCGGAGCCAGGAATTGTTCCTGCGGGGGGCCAATCACAAGTTGAGAGATAATAATAAAATATATTAATATTTATTTAACATATTTCAAAATACATCATTGTATTACAAATCTACTAAAATTTAGAACGTCTTTCTTGCATGTCACAAAAATCATCTATAATTAAATCTATACTAAATTATTTTGCAATTTATTTTTTAATGTATACTAACAAACAATCATTAAGAAATTCATTTTCCATCTTATTACGAAGCGTAGTCTTTAAACATTGTTACTAGTTACTAATAATAAACCATTCACCAAAGAGCAAACATTTCTTAAACCCAATCGTTATGCTGTGGAACCGTGTCCACCTTGCAAGGTGGACACGGTTCTATATTCATAATTATAAAGCTATATATTCATAATTTTTGAACTTCATATTCACAATTTTTGAACTCTATATTTACAATTACAGAACTCTATGTTCATAATTACTAAACTATATGTTCATAATTATAAAGCTATATATTCATAATTTTTGAACTTCATATACACAATTATTGAATCTCTATATTCATAATTACAAAACTATATGTTAATAATTATGTTCACAACTCTATGTCCATGATTATAGGACTATATGTTCATAATTTTTGAACTATATATTCATAATTATGAACAGTTTTGAAACCGTGTCCACTTTACAAAATGAACCCGATTCCACGGCATAATTTGCCCTCAAAATCCTTTAAACAAATTTTAATCGTGTGGAATAATAAGAAAAAAAGTCAGGGAAACAAAAAAGAAGAAGAAATATATGATTGGAAGGGACAAATGCTTTGATGAGGGGGCCAAAAAAAACAATATACTATTAATAAGAATTTTTTTTTAGGACAATATACTATTAATAAAAAAAAAAAAATGAGGGGGGAGGGGGGCCAAGGCCCCTGCACCTACCATGTACCTCCGCCACTGGATGTATGGTTATGAAATTATGGATATGATGAAATTATGGTTGTATAGTTATACAATTCTGATTTTTTTTTTTTTTTTTAAGTTAGACGTCAAAACGATGTCGTTTTTACATCCGAATGCACCATGCATGGTGCATAGAATGCACATCATAACGATCCCAATTGCCCCCTGCATGAACAATACTTATCTGCGTTATTGCTCCTTCCGGCTTGTAAGTCCACTCTTTCCACCTGGACCTCCCCATGCCACAATTTTTATCTTTTTTGCAGGTACAAATACGTGGCCCAACACTGCTATATAGAGTTAGGATTAAAAGCTGAACGTTTTTAAAAGATCAGAAATTAAAAGTAGAGAAAATTAAAGTCGAAAACTAAAATACTAATATGGTTGGATGATCAAAAGTGAAATTGCCTCTGGCCTGGTCTCTGTTTGGTAACATAGTTAGTTTATCAATCAATTTTTATTTATTTGATTACTATTAGCTTTTTGATTTGGTTAAACAACCAATAATCCAATTTGAGTATTTCATTAATTAGCTTTTTGTAACAGCTTATGACTCAAAAACACTAAAATTCAAAAAGCTACTCAAAACATACAACTTTTTGAGAAAGTCATTTTGTTTGTAATCAGCTATCAGCTAATAGCTAATTTACCAAACATCTTTCTACAATAAACTAATGTTATCAACTAGTCAAACCCACTAACCCAATCAGCTAACAGCTATTTACCAAACACCCCCTATGTGTTACATCGTGGAAAAACCAAATGTTGCACAATGGGAATTCTTGAAGCTTGAAATATACTTGGGGCGTCTTCAATAGTGTAAAGATTTTGAGGAGATTTTACAGGTGTGGTTAGGAAAGAGAAAATAGGAGGGGAGAAAAAAAAAAGAAAAAGAAAAAAACTAAAATCTGAAAATTTAAAAAAAAAAAAAAAAAAAAAAGAATTACGCGCCCAGGCAGGCGCGTGCAGTGCGTGAGGAGCAACTCTCCTCCTCCATTGGTGGCCCACTCACTACAAAATCCCATTTTAGCATGACCAACTCCCCCCCCCCCCCCCCCCCCCCCCCCCCCCTCTCTTCCCTCTTTTTCACCCCAACTTTCTTAAAATCTGGTCCAAAATTCCCCTTTTGGGGATGCTCTTAGAAGTGGCAAAAACAACAATCTTACATGATTTTGTCATTTCCTCGCAAGTTGCTTGAAGATCACTTATTTTCTTGGTCATTGTGTCAATATCACCTAGTTCAATGCTGGACCTACATATATTTGCCAATCAGACAATCACTTTCAACTAGTTGTTAAAAATAATAACAACAAAACTTAAGTTTCTGATCACTTTAGAACGGTTGAAATTTGATCTGAGAATATTTTTGTCAGGAATATAATGAAATGAAATTCTTACTAGTAAGTCTTGCCAAATAGGGAGTGCATATAAGACGTGCACAAAACAACATTTCTAACAGTCCAGTAGCTCGCCACTACCATGGTGTTCGTCACTATACGAATCGTCGCTTCATCTGCAGAACTACGAGACGACAACAACGCCTTCATCTTCGCGATTTGCTCAGTCAAATCCACCATGGACAAGATGAGATTCTTAAGCTTATCGAACCAAGATTTCTATTCATCGGAGTCTGCTACTCGGTCCTTTAACTACAACAACGTTACCATGTCTTTGGCCAACCATTCACCAGAACACGATTGCATTAGAACCCAATAGTCTCCATAAATCGTAACGAGAGCCGCTAACATCAGACACACCCGCTAACTCTGGAAGCTATGGTGGGTGAGAGCAGAGCAGGGTGGGAGTGATTAAAAGCGGGACTGTTGAAGGGTTTATATAGCGCAGGGGAAGGAGAAAGATTGCAGGTTTTTCAAGAAATGACTGGAAATTAACATGTAGTTAAAGATAGAAGAACAGAAAAACCTAGAAATGCTATCGAGAACTGAGAAATCTCAAGCCTTAATTTTCTCTCTTTTCATTTCATATAAGCTCCGGAAGAGAAAAAGAAAACAGAACTCAACGGCCATTAAACGTATGATGATCTAAGGCTATTTATAACCCCCTCCTAATCTAATTACCACACCTTAACATCTATTAGAGATTATTATTATCTTAAGTAGTTTCTCATCTGCGATTAGGGTTTAAGTTTGGAAGATTTGGAAATTTTCATTAGATGTAGCGCATAGAGTTTAGGGATTTTGATTTTATTCGTGTATACAGAGGTTTTTTTTTTTTTTAATTTTATTTCGCATATAGATTGGGAGAAAGAAGAGGATTATACGCTCAGATCAGTAAGGGAAAGTACAATTTTACCCTTAAAATAGACGTCTATTGGAAAAAACTTGATAGTCAGATGGTTAAATAGTCCAAATTAAAAGTCGAGGACCAATTCTAGAAAATCATCATATTCGGGGGACCATTGTTGGAATTAACTCTTTAAAAATATGTAGAATCGCTCTGATACCACTACATCATAACTCTGATACCACAGAAAATGATATTCTTTTTATAAAAAAATGTCATATTTGGTTCTATGACTATTGAAATATTTTTAATTTGTGTCTACGCAGAATTCGTATTCCCAATAAAATAGCAATGTTTTTGAGTACAAGCCTATAAATAAGTAATCATTCTATTGCTATTATCAATGCTTTGAAGGTGTTATAAATTGGTATCTTTCACATGTGTGAATGAACCATATTAACTTCCACTTTCAGCAATCAAATGTAGATAGCAAATTGCAAGTTAAAGACAAATGAGGAAGTTAGAGGATTTCACAACTATTACTTGCAAGAGAAAACATGAACAAGCAAATAAAGGTATAGTTACATTCAAATTATTATCTATGTTTTTTACACTATTTTTTTTATTTATTGTTATAGTATGATTTTAAAAATATTATTAAAATTGTTCGATTACTGGCTTGCTCCTAACAATCCTCTTATTTATAATAAGTGGGTTACCAGCGAAAGGAGTGATCACAAATTTGATTTTAAAATAATTACATTAGACCAAAGGAGCGCATGAGAAGACGGTTTGATGATGAAGACTGATCCAGCTATCCCGTTAACTTGTATCTAAGTTGTATTCATTTTGACGCGACTCGTATAACTTGTGATTTATACAGCCAAGATGTAGACGCTCTTCCTTTGTTTCTTTAAGCTCTCTTCCCTCTCGCTCATCCTCTAATCTCTGACTCCAAGTTACCTACGTTCACCATTAATGCCGGTGGAACGATCCGGCGGCAGACCTCTTTTCCCTGCCAAAAATGGCGTCGACAACAATGTTGGCCTCTTAACGGTGAGGGTTGATGTTCAGTACGATACCGTCAACCTGCTGACAAAGGGCATCGACTTTATAAAGGGCACCCTATTATTCTATTAAGCGATGGAGTCCAGATTTTTATGACAACTACTTATGTGGATTTTTAATTTCTTTCCTAATATTTAAAAATATGTAGAATCGCTCTGATATTACTACATCATAACTCTGATACCATAGAAAATGATACTCTTTTTATAAAAAATGTCATATTTGTTTCTATGACTATTGGAGTATTTTTAATTTGTGTCCACAAGTTTAAAAGTTGTCAATTTCAATCCACAACTATTTAACTTTTGTCAATTTTAGTACATCGGTTCAAATTGTGGGCGAGAGTTAGAAGGAAAATTTTAATGCATTTATTATTGCTGAAAATCCTTACCGATCCTTCAACAATTTGATCAAAATTTTAGTCCCTTCTTCCCAAATGCCAATTCTCATAAAAAACTTCATCACGGTAGAGTACTCCAAAAAATTTGGACGTATCAGGGGACGTTCCACACATTCGCATAACTACTGATGCAGTGTTCAACGGAACGGTCACCATGGTAACGGGTGGAACAATGAACTTCCATGGGTGGACAATGTTCAATGATGGTCGGACGGTGAATATCTTGAGTTTGACCATAATGGGGTGACTTTGCCTTAGCGGGAGACGTCAACGCTCTTAAGTCATTTCCTCCTGGTGGTCTTTGCGTGATTCTGTGAGCTACGGTCTCTGACTTTTCATATATATATATATATATATATATATATATATATATATATATATATATATATATCTTGGAAAACTGTAAGTTAATTGCTAGCACGTTTGGTTCACGGAATGAATTTTGAGGAAATATGAATGTTATTCCACAGAGAATGGAATAAGTAATAAGGAATATAACATGAATTGTATTCTATTGTTTGGTTCGCTGAAGGAATAGTCTTTAGGAATTGTAGGAATAAGGGTCAAATAGGCCATCGAACTGCACACGATAATTCAATTAGGCCACTGAACCTAAAAAAACCAACAATTGGGTCCCTAAACTAACCAATTTCAAACAATTCTTCCAATTTGAAGGTTTCCGACAGGTCATCCTTCCAAATTAATTATTTTTAAAATATATATTTTTTTAAAAAATTAATTATTTAAATTTTTTAAAAAAAAACAGGACTCCGGGACGGAACCGTCTCCGGCCGGTTTCTTCGTCTCCACGGCCGGAGACAAAGAGTTTCTTCTTCTCAATGGCTGATGGCTGGAGACGAAGAAACTCTTCGTCGCCATGGCAGGAGACAATGAAACTCTTCATCTCTGGCAGTGGACACGAAGAGTTTCTTCGTCTCCGGCCGGAGTCTTGTTTTTTTTTTTTTTTTTTTTTTTTTTAAATTTAAAAATAATTAATTTTTAAAATTTATTTTTTTAAAAAAATAATTAATTTGGGAGGATGATCTGTTGGAAACCTTCAAATTGGAAGAATTGTTTGAAATGGTTAGTTTAGGGACCTAATTGTTGGTTTTTTAGGTTCGGTGGCCTAATTGCATTATCGTGTGCAGTTCGATGGCCTATTTGACCCTTATTCCAGAATTGTATTCCAATGTTTGGTTGGTTAAACAAATAGAAATGAAATATTTTTAAAGACATAAATACCCTTATACAAAATAATAATAATAATAATTATGATATACTGGATGTTATATATATATATATATATATATATATATATATATATATATATATATATATATATATATATATATATATATATATATATATATATATATATATATATTGAATTATTGATAGATAAACGTTATAAGAGTTAATTCCACCAGAGATCCCTTGTCTTTGGTGACAATTTCAAATTTAGTCCCAGATTATCGTTTTTGTCATTTAACATCTCAGGCTATTGTTTTTTGGACACTTTTAGTCATTTTCATGACTTTTCCTATTTTTAGTAAGACCATTTTTTTGTCTCTTCATATTTTTCTTTTGTTATTTTTTCGATTTCAACCGATTTAATTGGTTTAGAATTTTAGGTAACCTCTGATTTTTAGTAATCATATTTTCAACCGGTTTTTAGTAAAGTCCTAAACCAATTAAACCTGTTGAAATCAGAAAAATATGAAGAGACAAAAATTCCCTTACTAAAGTTATGAAAAGTCATGAAAAGGACTAAAAATGTTCAAAAAACAATAGTCTGAGATGTTAAATGGCAAAAACAATAGTCTGTAACTAAATTTGGAATTGCCACCAAATACAAGGGACCTCTGGTGGAATTAACCAAAATTATAATTAATTAAATATAGATACATTTATGTAATACATTATATTTATTAAATAATGTGTTACTAAATTTAGAATTGCCACCAAATACGAGGGACCTCTGGTGGAATTAATCAAAATTATAATTAATTAAATATAGATACATTTATGTAATACATTATATTTATTAAATAATGTGCAAAGCGTATTTTTGGTATTTGTAATCCCAGGCCCCATTTGTACAATCGTTATGCGTTGGACCCGTGTCCAGCATGCTTGCTGGACACGGGTAACAGTGCCGTTAGGGTTTTTTTTTTTTTTTTTTTTTTTTTTTTTTTAATTTCAGACCGCTTCATTGTAAGAGTATATGTTCATAATTTTATTACTATATGTTAATAACTATACATTCATAACTCCATAACTGTACGTTCATAACTCCATAACTGTACATTCATAACTCCATAACTGTACATTCATAACTCCATAATTGTACATTCATAATTTTCGAAGCTCTATGTTCACAATTTTAGAGCTCTATGTTCATAATTTTATCACTATATGTTCATAATTGTAAGTTCATAATGTTAGAGCTCTTTGTTCATAATTCGATCAATAACTGTACATTCATAATTCCATACTGTAGATTCATAACTCCATAACTGTAGATTCATAACTCTATAACTGTACATTCATAACTCCATAACTGTACATTCATAATCTTTGAAGCTCTATATTCACAATTTTAAAGCTCCATGGTCATAATTTTATCACTATATGTTCATAATTGTAAGTTCATAATGTTAGAGCTCTGTGTTCATAATTTCATAATTGCATAACTGTATATTCATAACGGCATAACTGTACATTCATAACGGCATAACTGTACATTCATAATTAAAAAAAAAAATAACGCCGTTAACGGCAAAACGCGCGCGAAATTTTTTTTTTTTTTATAACTAAATGACGGTTTTTTTTTTTTTTTTTTTAAACGACGTCGTTTTAGGCCCGTGTCCACAATTCAATGTAGACACGGGTCCAGGGCATAATTTGCCCCATTTGTAAGAACCAATAATGGCTCCAGAGGCTCAAACTCACAATTTTTCAAATGGAAGTCCAACCCAGGTACCATTAGACCACATAATCTTGATAATCCCATGATAATATGATCAAACTAAGCAATGCAATATGTCTATTTCAAGGAATGTTATTGTATTGCTTACCTATTTCATGAACCAAACATTTCATGGATGTATTTCTTTCGGATCTCTCCCTATTTTTATTTGTTAGGAGAGGTTAAATAGAAGTTATGACAGTTTTTTTTTTAATGCTACTGACTCTATTACAAGTTACTTAAAACTCTAATTTTTAAGTTGCAACATATATATCAAATAATGATATGATATAATAAAAATGTATCTTCATGATTATGTACATATATATAAACCCATGTATATTGTCTTCTACATCACTTTAATAATATATATATTGTCTTTCACGTCACTTCTGTAACCAAGAATAACTTTGGGCCAGCCTTAGCTTCAGTTCTGCTTCACAAACACACCGATGGCGTCCACAAATTTCTCCGACGACCGGCCATGAAATCCGACCACGATTCCATTCTCCATCACAAATGAGAACGGCGTTCCGTCGTCTTGGCTACCGAACGGGCCGTGCTCCCTGAGATTGGTGTGAAACTTCAACGATTTTACGTATACTTCATTCTCTTCCATAACCCCGTAAGTCCCACTTACGCCCGTCAATTGCTCGGAAGGATGATTAATGCTCACCTCCGCCGTCTTGCTGCCGCCGTCTCGGCCAAATTTGACCGGAGACTCCACTCCGCCGCCTGGATTCATGCTAGAAAAGGTTATGGACACAATTGCCCCTCCATGAACGATACTTATCTTTGTTATTGCTCCTTCAGGCTTGTAAGTCCACTCTTTTCCACCTGAACCTCCCCATGCCACAATTTTTATCATTTTTGCAGGTACAAATACGTGGCCCAACACTGCCATATAGAGTTAGGATTAAAAGTTGAACAATTTTAAAGATCAGAAATTAAAAGTAAAGCAAATTAAAGGCCAGGTTCAGCCATATAGTTAACTTATCAGCCAATTTTATCTTATTTGACCACTATTAATTGTTTGATTTGTTAAACAATCAATATGGCTATTTGATTAATTAGCTTTTGTAATAGCTTATTGTTCCGAAATGCTAAAATTCAAAAAGCTGTTCAAAACAACTTTTTCGATTTATCAAACATCTTTCTATAACCAGCTAACGCTATCAACTATTCAAACTCACTAACTCAATCAGCTAACTGCTAACGACTAACAACTATTTACCAATCACCCCGTTTGTGTTACATCGTGGAAAAACCAAATGTTGTACAATGGGAATTCATGAAACTTGAAATATACTTAACAGTAGCAAAAACAACAATCTTACATGACATTGTCATTTCCTGACAAGTTGCTTGAAGATCACTTATTTTTTTGGTCATTGTGTCAATATCACCTGGTCCAACGCTAGACCTACATATATTTGCCAATCAGACAATCACTTTCAACTAGTTAAAAATAACAACAAAACTTAAGTTTTTGATCACTTTAGAGCGGTCGAAATTTAATCCGAGAATATTTTTGCCAGGAATATAATGAAATGAAATTCTTACTTGTAAGCCTTGCCAAAGAGGGAGTGCATATAAGACGTGCACAAAACAACATTTCTAACAGTCCAGTAGCTCGCAACTACCATGGTGTTCGTCGCTATACGAATCGTCGCTTCATCTGCAAAACTACGAGACGACAGCAACGCATTCATCTTCGCGATTTGCTCAGTCAAATCCACCATGGACATGATGAGATTCTTAAGCTTATCGAACCAAGATTTCTGTTCATCGGAGTCTACTACTCGGTCCTTTAGCTGCAACAACGTTACCATGTCCTTGGCCAACTGTTCCCCAGAACATGACTGCATTAGAACCCAATAGTCTCCGTAAATCGTAACAAGAGCCGCTAACATCAGGCACAACTTAGCGTCCCACTCGTAACTCGATAGCATGTTGAAGAAACTGAGGGTCTTAGGATGTACATCTGCGGCGTTCAAGGTCGTGAATGCTAGCTAAAACATGAAACAGACATGGTTAGTTAGGTTTAGATATATTAGGCGATACAGGCTTAACCTACTGATTTAGTAGACTGTATTTGAGGTAAGAAACTAACAGGGCGTTTGGTTGGAGGGGGGGAATTATGTGGGAAAAGAATTTGTAATTCCATGGGAGTTGAATTACTGGGAATAAAGTGGGAATTTAAATTCTAGTGTTTGGTTGATAGGAATAGAATTACTAGGAATTTCAATTCCAATGTTTGGTATACATGGGAATTGAAAGTGAATAAGTAGTATAAAGTCAAAAATGTCCATTATTGTTGTTAGACATTAATTTTAGGTTAAAAAAGGAAGGGGTAATTTTGACTCATCACTATCTTTTTTTCTCAAGAATTAAAATACCACGGGGGGACATGGGATTTTAATTCCATGAAAATGGGGGAATTGCAATTCCCTCCAACCAAATTACGGAATTTAATGGCCTTTGGAATTAGATGGGAATTAAGTGGGAAGGGAATTTAAAATCCCTCCAACCAAACACCCTGTAAGGCTTAAAACTCGACAATAGTAATGTGAGAATTATGCCCAAAGTAAACTGATGCGATATTTTACCCTGATTTACATCAACCTAAATATTTTGTCAAGTCGAGATGTGGGGGTCTTAGGGATTGGGAATTCAATTTTTTGGACAATGTTTAGATATAGTACCAGATTAAATGGTTAAAGTATTGGAGAAGTTGATGTACTATGAACCTCGGTGGATAGTTGTTCCAATATGGAATGCAGGCAGGAATAATCCAAGGAAGTGGGATCTTCTTTTTGTCCTTCGGAACTCTGTTTACCATTTAGGAAACAAAATTATTAAAACAAAATTTCAACCCAACATAACAAACAATTTAAATGTTAGTACTTTGGTCTCCGCACTTTTGGAAAAATATTAGTACTTTGGTCTCCGCACTTTTGGAAATTTTGCTATTTCTGTACAATTTTTTCGAACATCCAAAAAAGTATATGAAAATTTGAAACTTTTTCAATTCTCTAGCCACAATTGGGGTGGTCAAATTTTGAAAATTCTAACGAACCATATTGGTTAGAAATAACAATAACAAATTTTTCCAATCAACTTTGTTTAATTTCTAACAAAAAACCTAGTATTGGGACCATTTTAAGTGGTAGAAAAACATTAGATTTGAAGAACATACCATGTGGTAGCCACATAGAGACAGAATCTCCTTGATGATACTGAGCAGACCATTAACCTGAATTTCTTTGCCATCAGGAAAGTGTGTGGTTTCGATTTGCCGCAAAATCCCAGTTTGGTCACAAGTCGCTGCCAGGCCGCGTCCGTAGCCGGTTCGACTTGCCGGTGGCTTTGCTTCCACTAACGCCGCCATTGATGATCTTGGCTAGCTTTCTTTTTACCCCACTTATTAAACCTAACGGAAAGTTTAGCATGCACTTGAGTAATATGGAAAGAAACCTATAGGAATAGGGATATATGCTAGCTGGTTTCATGAGACAGGTGCTTTAATGGCTTAAGAAGCATGGAATCTACTAAATTAAAGCTCAAAAGAAAGAATCCTCTACCTTCCTTCAGGCAAATTTGTATGGCAACCATGATTCACATAGTGCTATGTGAACTATAAAAAAAAGTATATTATCTGTGTAATGAATGTACAGTATATAAGATAATGTAAATTTAGTACTCAAATAATGTACGTTTCCTGAATACAAGATACATTTTTAATATATTAGTACATTATTTGTGTACTGAATGCACATTATTTGGTAGCATATAAAATAATGTACTTTCATTACTAAAAAAAAATGTACTTTTAAATAATATATTTTATGTACATAAATAATGTATTTTTTTATTTTTAGTCCACACAGCTTTGTAGACCATAATCAATGCAATAATGAGTAAAGATTTTGAGTAATTTAGAAGGATCCATTTATCCATTCTTTAAGGCGTCTATGGAATGGCAAATTTTATTGTGGACAATGGTCCATGTAGCAGTGTAATTTATGAAGTATCATTCTAATTACACTTCAGTTTCATTTGACAATATTATTCTGTTGTTCAGTTTCATTTTTCACATACACTAGTTTCATTATAGTAATACCAAAGTATCATTTTTAATTCTACTATAGTTTCATTTGACAATATACATTATTGCATGAGCTCTATTTTGTAGTTTCATTTTCCACATACACTAGTTTAATTATCGTAATATTAAAGTATTATTTTAATTACACTCTAGGTTAATTTGACAATATATGTTATTGTATAACTTTGGATTTTAATTTTATTTTTCACTTACACTAGTTTCATTAGAACAACACTGAAGTATCATTTTAATTATACTACAGTTTCATTTGACAACATACATGGTTGAATGAGCTCTGTATTTTAGTTTCACTTTCCACACACACTAGTTTCAGTATAGCAACATTAAAATATTATTTTAATTCTACTACAGTTTCATTTGACGATTATGGTCTACATAGCACTGGAGACCATGGTCCACTATGGAATACCATACATTTTAGTAAATAAAAATACGTCGGGATGGTCATTTTTCAAAATTTAATTCTTCACCCCATGATTTTCAGTGAAATAGTGGTAGATGCCTAGGTGGTGATTTTTTCAAATTTAGTTCTTTCTTATTGATCCTGTTTGGTAAATGGCTGTTAGCTAATTGTGTTAATTATAAGGTATAACTAGTTAATAACATTATCTGTTGTGGAAAAGTGTTTTGTAAATTAGCTGATAACTGTTTGGTATAATTTCTTTTCTAAAAAAAACTAATTAAAAAAGTTGCTTGGAGTAGCTTTTTAAATTTTAGCATTTTGAATTGAAATTGCAAAAAGCAAATTAATCAAACACTTACATTGATATTTTAACTAAATCAAATAATTAATAGTAATAAAAAAAAACCAAAATTGACCTATAAGCCAAAATTTTACCAAACAGGCCATTGTTTCATGATTTTCAGTGAAAAGTTGGTAGATCGCATGGTCCTCTTAGAGAATGGCCCATGATGATATTTTTTGGGGGTTTTGGGCTATGTTGGGAGAGAGGGGCTAATGTGGTATAAGACTACGCCTTGGTAAAAAATTGGCATATAAATCAATTTTGACTTATTTAATCACTATTAATTGTTTGATTCAGTTAAAATATCAATAAAAGTGTTTAGTTAATTAGCTTTTGTAACTTCAAAATGTTAAAATTTAAAAAAACTACTCCAAACAACTTTTTAATTAGTTTTTTCAAAAAAGAAATATACCAAACAACTATAAGCTAACAACTAATTTATCAAACACTTTTCTACAACAGCTAATATTATCAATTAGTTATATCCTCTAATTAACACAATCAGCTAACAACCATTTATTAAACCGGATATATAAGAGAAAGAAATGCCGGATTCTTTGCAAGAAACATTTTTCGGATTGATCATGCTACATGGACCAAACTTTTCACAATCTTAACGAGTTTTTGTAAAGAGTTAAACACATTCACATAAAAACAAAAATTTGTGTAAACTAGACAACATTGAAAACGAATTCTATGTAGCTTTTTTTTTTTTTTTTTTTTTTTTTTTTTTGAATTGAATTCTATGTAGCTGAGCATCCACATCGTGGATATTCTCTTATGGCCATGTAGTCCAAGGATCAAATGCTTACATGTAGTCTAAGTTGTTAACTTGTTAAAAATGTTAAATGTTTTTTTTTTTTTTTCCCTGATTTCATAAATGAATTTGGAGCTTATTCGAGTTTGATATGATGACTTAATGGTTATCTCTCAAATAGTTCAATAACTTATTTGTACATTTTCTCAAAAATAAATGCATGCGTTCTAACAAGAGCTCCAAAAGTAAAAGTATATAGTATGCATTTCATTTTGGACAATGGACATCAGATTTGTCTACTGTTCTTGGTAACAAATCGTAATAATTTAACTGTTACCAATAGACCAGGACTATGTGGTCTAATGGTACCTGAGTTGGACTTCTATTTGAAAGATTATGAGTTCAAGCCTCAGTGGAGGCGTTATTGGTTTTTTGTGTTTCAGTAAGTTGAGAAAGTATATGAATAGATTACCAATAGGCTAAATCAAATTCGTTAAGATTTCTTCATGGAAGGCCCAATCATAGTTGATGAAAGAATGATGGTGGATGTAAAAACCAGACAAGGAAGTCAACGTGGTTTTCGTAAAGAGTTAATGTCATCTGCAATTTTTTGAGTATAGTGATTTTGTCACATTTAGTTTTAAATATTTAAATTAATCATCCATGGTTCTTCTAGGAGGACTAAGACTAGTTAAATTTTGAAAGTTGAAGGACTCAACATGTTTTATTCGACACATTTTAAGTATTGTACTGTAGTTTGCATAATTCTTAAAAATAATACTAAAAAATATACTCCGTAATAAAGTATATTAAAGGAAAATTTAAAGTTTTAAACCTTGAATTATAGAGTATGTATAACTTTTGTCCCTTATTAACATGGAACTGTAGTAACAGTCCTCCTTAATTAGTGACCAATATAATGTGCATGGCATATTTAATCCGTACGTGTTTTGATTGGAGTTATTTTGGACGAAAACATAAGTACCATTAATATAGAAAGCACAAAATTGTATTTTTTTAGTATGGTTTTCTTGGATAGAAAACTAAACAACGCCCATAATGTTCCTAGCTATTATACATTGGAGATTATATTCGTGGATGATTCAGTCAATTTTAAATGGAGGAGAGAACATTTGTTAGAGTTTAAAGTATTCATAATATGAAAATTAGAATCACTAACAATTGTAAAAATTACTACAACACATGCCAAAAACATGTGTAAATTTTTCATAAAAAATAGCTACATCTGTCAAAAGGAATAAATATGTCACATTTGTGACTAATTAGGGGTACTATTGTAACATCATATTAATTATGAACACAAATTACACTTTCTATATAACTTTTGAATTAAAACTACAATTTTCTCTAAATTAAATATCCAAGAGTAAATTTTGGGTGAAAGATATTGTTTTTCTCTTCTAAAGTTACCTCATAATAATCCATCCCTAATATGACTTTAGTTATAAATTAAAGTTAAAGAAAACATATTTTCAAAAAAAAAAAAAAAGTTAAAGAAAACACTTTAAAGATGTCAATATCAACATGATATAGAGTTATATAATTGTATTTTTATTAGTTCAAAGTTTTTTCTTTTTAATTTTATAGATATATTTTAAAAAATCAATTTCACATTGACCAATCATCTATTTTTGTGCAATAAATAAACCAAATTCATATAATCCTCACTTAAAAAAAGTATCAACTTTTACTTAACCCAAATTAATGGTCAACCCCATTCAAAATAATGTATCAAAATAGCTACTGATCACATACCAATTTTTAAACATTGTTTAATCCTCCCTATCATCATCACCATCATTATTTATCTAAACATTCGAAGAACAATTTATCTGTCACAAAATACAAAGTAGTCTATATATACATAGTAAAAGTTGAATCCATAACCTCTTTCTAAATGAAAAGATGATGAATCGTTTGCTTATGAGCGTCTTATCCACAATGAAAATGATAGGTGAACATAGCTAGGCTTTAAACGTATAAGTCTAGACCTATTTAGTCAATAGTTATCGTGTGGACTACGATCAAAACACAACGTCATTTCGCGTAATTTTATTTTATTTTTTCATGTGATTCGCTACAATATACGTTTTTATAACTCATAATGTACATTATTTTATCCCAGAAGTTTCATTATTCTAATATATAATGTATATTATTCTAACACATAATGTACATTATAATACCCCAGAAGTTTCATTATTCTAACACATAATTTACATTATTCTAACATATAATGTACATTATTCTAACTCATAAAATTCAGCGACGCCGTTTTGGATCGTGGTCCACGACCCACATAATAATTTGCCCTTTTTAGTCCATCATTATTGTGTGGACCATACTATCAAATAATGTATATTCAGTACACAAAAAATATACTTTTAGTATATTAACAATATACATTGTATTCAGGAAAAATATATTATTTAAGTACTAAAAGTACATTATTTTGTATAATGTTCATTCTATATACAAATAATATACTTTTAGTATATTAAAACTGTACATTTTGTTATGGTCCACATAACGGCAATTTATATTGTGCACCAGGGCGCACAATGCAATGTGCGTCCTGGTGCAAAACGACGTCGTTTTGTACTTTTTTTGGGGGGAAATTTCGCTTTCTGTGTCTGCTGTTAACTTCTTAAAAAAAATCTCATGTTTTAAAAATGTACATAATTGCATAACAAAATGTACATAATTGTATAACAAAATGTACATAATTGTATAACATAATACACAATCTTTTTAAAAAGATAATGCACATAATCTAACATAATACATAATACATAATACACATAAACTCTTAACATAATACACATAAACTCTTAACATGATACACATAAACTCTTAACTCTTAAAAAAAATTCTCTGTTTCGGATGTACATAATTGTATAAAAATGTACATAATTGTATAACAGAATGTACATAATTGTACAACATAATATACATAATTATATAACATAATACACATACACTCTGTCGTGTCAACTCCCTACACAACTTAACAAAATGGCGTCGTTTTAAGAGGCACGGCCGCACGAAACGCACATTGCTATGTGCGTCGTGGTACACGGTATTATCAGGAGTCTCGGATGGTTGACAAGTGGAGTCCATCCGTTTACTCTAAAATCTGTTAGAAGCAGTTAGAAGCAGTCTGTTAGAAGCAGTTAGAAGCAGTTCCTTTTCCCTCCTTTTTTCTTAGCTTTGTATAACTGTGCATATAAACTCTTGTACTAAGTCTTCTTGGAATGCAATGAGAATAATCCTTTTGTCTCTCTTTCAGTCGATACTCCCTTCTTCTCTGAATCATTACATGGTATCAGAGCTTCGAATGAAGTAATCTACGAAGCAACTTCCCACAATGGAAGCGTGGCCTCCCGTCGGCAATCGATCGGCTCCGATCAGTAATCCGGCAACTGCTGCGGCAAACACTGCCAATCCCAATCCTGCTCAGGAAGTTCCTGCTGCTATTGGAGAGGTGAATTTCAACCCCGATCTTCAATCCAATCCCTATTTCTTACACGCAAACAAAAATCCAGCGCTGGTGCTCGTGTCTACCCCGATGGATGGCTCGAACTACCATCCCTGGGCTCGAGCAATGACAATGGCTCTGTCCTGTAAAAACAAACTTGCGTTTGTCAATGGAACCATCACCAAGCCTGCAATAGACGATCGAAAGTATGATGTCTAGGAACGTTGCAACAACACAGTAGTATCGTGGATTGTCCGATCGTTATCCCCGACTATTGGCCAAAGTGTGCTTTGGATAGACACGGCGTATGGAATCTGGAATGACTTGAAACGATGATTCAGTCAACAAGACCTATTCCGGATTGCGGAGATTAAATGTG